GATGAGTACTGAAATCTAGATTAGTTTCCAGATAACTACGGCAAGTATTGTGTCCTTAAACTGATCTTTTGCTGGGTCTTACACATTCCCAGCTGGTCATGGCTGGTAATGTTATTTTATTTATTTCTTTTATTTTATGTCAATACAAACATGACAAATCTAATCAAATTACAGAAATGTCTTGTAAACACCTTCGACTCGAGGGGGGATCGTACGCCTAATATATATATATATATACTATTTGCTTGGTAGCTTAAAGAAGGTACTTTTGAAGACGACTTTGTTATTTGACTCGAACCTCTGCGAATAATTTACGCTCTAAATGAAAATTGAGTTCCGCCCTTTTTTTATTTCGTGCCATGCCAAAAACTTGATTACAATTCTGCGGTTGCGCAAAATCGATTCTTCATTTTCGCACACAAAATGTCTCTGCGGCGAAATTGGAAACAATTTACCAAAAATAACAAAAAATATCAATCTCAGTCGGCAAGCGCTGAAATAAATGTGCGCACGTACAGGCCCAAGAAAATTGCGCCTAATATGATTAAAGCCATTCATTTTGAGATTTTGTGCATGAGGCAGAAAGGTGCGCCTAGGGTCAGACACTTGATTAGAGCAATTTTCGCAGTGCCATGAGCGCGCGGCACAATATGAGCATTGATTTTGAAACTGGGCGTCTGCGGGGCACCATGCGGAGAGAGAAAAATGCTGTATGTATGCTATATGCTATATATAGTATGCCTTAAAGAATAGATGAATGGGCCAAAACGAGCGGAAACGAAATTAGCACTAAAATCTATATGAGTTTTTTGTTCGCACAACTCACAAGCGGCTAATTGCCAGCGGCTTATTCATTTTTCGCCAAACTCTTGGCTGTTCATTAATCATTGTTTTGGCATTTCTGGCTACTTTTTAATTAATTTGATTAGCATTTGCATTTATTTATCGATTGGGTGGAATTATGAATTTAATAATTTACTGTGCCGCCTGTTCGTTTCCTTGGTCTGGTATGGTATTCGAAAAAAGTTCGTTGCCCAAGTCTTTCGATTTTGCATACATATGCGTTCACAAATTCAAATCCAACCCACATAATAAGCTTTTAATCATTAACGATTACCCATTTAATATGTTGGTCATTACCAATTTTAACTCAAATTATGCGCAACAGCATTCAAATGCTGTTAAATGCCCAGACACGCCCTCAAATTTGTGTTTATACATCATTACTACTCGTATGTGTGTACAAAGTTTCCATATCGTATTATCTAATGAATTCGCTGCGTGGGCTGGCATGAATATGCATAAATAATATTTTAATTGATTGTTCACAAGATCGTTAGCTTCTTAAATATGGCATGGCATTGTGTTTTTTACTTTGATTTGAAATTTTTTGTTGGCCATAGATTCCATAAAATCGAATTAATAATCAACGCTGGACACGCCGCATCCAACAGCCTCGGGCAGAAAGGCAAATAGTGCTCATGTTTGCCAAAGAAAACGGCCTCGTAGACGCCCTAAAACCTATACACTATACCTATAGATATATGTATTGCTGCTTATAGGTGTACTTCTATTCAACGAACTATTCACAATTCGTTTGATTTGCATTAGAAATCTTTATAATTTGCATAAGTATTAACTACATTTGTAAACTTTATGTCAATTGAGTTTTAATTCTTGATACTTGAAATAAAAAATATATGTAAACAAACTTATTCCATACTTATAGGTTGTATCAAAGCCTTAACTTATGAAGTTAGCTGTGCTTATGCAAGTAATATGTATTAGGTAGGAATTGGGGGCTAAACTCTAGCATTAGCTCCATCCAGTGCATATCAATAGTTCGCATTGAGTGTGAAAAAATACATATAGAAGAGTTTCAGTTTTATGAACTTAAAATTGAGAACAGGCGGACACCAAGCCAACCTGATTTAAATATTTGATGTCTTTGAACTAATTAGGAACAGGAAAGAAAGAAAAGCTTATACTACTAGATAAATCTGTATGTTACTTTTAGAGAGAGCCAAAACAATATACTTTCCTGCTCAATACAACAAGTTCAGTCTTTCTGTAGCGGCCTGCTTTTCTGTATAATTTAAGCGAGTTGTTCGATGGTTCTCTTTATTTCGTCAGCTGCTTGTAAAAGTATTTCTACTTCTCAGCTCATTGAAAATTCATCATAGCTTAGTTTAACCGTACAACAAACACGCATCTACTGCCTTGACCGAAACGAAACGAATGTTTGCACAACCCCCATAATGATGACAGCGCAAATTAGCTACTAATTTTCACACACACACACATGCTCAGCTCAGGACCTCACACAGCTGGCGCCCCCAGTCAGTTGCCGCCGGAAGTGACAGCGGTGCCCAGGACTAGGACCAACTCCAACTCCACATCCAAGTCGCGCCAGACACATCATTTAAAATTGGTATAAATCAGCATTTGATTATCCTTTGTGTGCAAGGCTAATTTGCTGCTGTCTGCGTCTTTCCCTGTGTGTGTGTGTGTGTTTGTGCGTGTGCGTGTTAGTTTGTTTTTAATTTATTAATTATTAGGCGGCTTACTCGTCCTGTCCACGCTGCTGTTTATTGCCGCTTCCGCTGCCATTAGCGCAGACTTCTCATCTCATATTGGCTCTCTGCCTGACATGCACAAGCGGACAGTAAAACAACAACAACAGCAACTACAACCAGTACTGACTTCCACTTAGCTACCTTATGTTGGACTACGCAGCGCCCAAATCAAGCAGGAAAATGCAAAGCTGCAGTCAAGTTGACTTTTCGCTTCGGGTGGTCAACGCACGTCACTCAAATTGAAGTCTCGCAAATGAGAATCTGTGCGCATGCGCGCGCGCACTCACTCGGACGTGGACGGTGGACGGTGGACCGTGGCAAGTTGTCGGATTTTTAATTAAGCGTGGCTATGGCGAATACACCCCAAGGCTATTTCATCAAACCCGCCAAGAAGTTGCAGGCGATCGCTGCTTCAAGCTGGCAGCCAGAGAACAGGTCTTGTTAGTAATTTTTAATTTGAGCTCTTCTGACAGCTTGCTGTCATATAAATTTAATTGAATTTACATTTTTATTAATTGCCGCTCTCTCAGCTCACACAGAACCACAGTGGATCCAAACGGAAAACTAGTTAGATAAAGCAGCAATTCAGAACTACAATGTGGATACACTGCGCTTGGACTTAATCATTAATTGGAATGCATTAATACCTATAGTATAGATTTTTAGAAGGGCTTGGTGTTCGATATATAAATAAAATATAGCATGGAATCACAATCGAATACAAAAGAAATTCGTAAATAAAAGCTTAAAATTTCGATATCAAATGTTATTTTATAATCAAAAAAGGAGAAACACAAAAATCGTTAAATAAATAACAACTTTGTACCTAAATAAATTAAAATTAAGTTATATAAATCACAGTTTGATTAATTAACCCTATTTGTTTTTAATTTTGATGAGGTATGATATATTTTAAGCTTAAAAACTAATAATATTGGAAAAATGTACAATCTTCAGTAGACTTTTGTGCAGCTCGATCGAAAATCGGGACCACTGTGAGGCCGCTGGAAAGTGCTACTCGTTCGCACCGGGTATGAATGGGACTATGCTTGCATGTATTTATGCATAAGTCTGTTTATGTAGTATATCTATATATGAGTGTGTAACAAACTGACTGACTGACTGACTGGCTGGCTGACTTGCTACTCATCAAGTTGGTTTTGCGCTCCGGCCATTTAAAGTTTTTGAATGAATTTAATTTGAGATGATTTGTTGATGGTTTCGTTGCGGTGATTTCTTGCTGACTAATTTAATGTGATTTTTAAATTGCCACAGACGCTGAGTGTGTGGCCGTGGCGACGACTCGGACTCCTACTCGGGCCTGGAGTAGGTTGCTACAAGGCAACAATTTAGAAGAACAGCGGATGGTCGCCTGTTACTGCTGTAGATTGATTTCAGCTGATGCATTAGTCGGCGCATATGTACGAGATTTTTTCTTTTTTCTGTTTTTGGAATTAATGAGCGACACGCCTCGCTGTGAGTCAACAGGTTTCTCCTTGCTCTCGAGCTGATCAACCGGCTTTATGGCCCATTATTGACTAATCTAATTTGGTAAGAAGCCGAGCTAAGTACGCGCACTGTACAAATTTGTTGTGTTGACAAACACAATCCTCCATTCCCGTCAGCTAACGACCAAGTGGTCGTCTCCAATTTGCCGACGCTAACGAGTCGGAGAGTCGGCGAGTCAGCGCATTTTTCTGCCTTTTATAAACTTAATTCGCAAATCAAACAACCGGAGGGCAGAATGAAATTCGCGCATAAGTAAATTAAAAATAAATTTATGTTCAAGCTGAAGGCGGCAAAGGTATAGCGGCAGCGGAAGTTCGTGTGTGTGAGAGCGTGTGTTACCATCGAAACAGGTATGGAAAGAATAAATGTGTGTGTGTGTGTGTGTGTGTGCTGTCGACGATTACGACGGCTGCGAATGCAAATCCAATTAAAATTTCCTAACTGCAGCAGCCGTGCAAAGGATCTACATTCAGTGCTGGCGCTAAGTTTAAGCCGTAAAGCGGCACTGAGCGCTGATTTAAAACACTGCGGGGCGTGTTTATTGATTAAATACAAATTGCGTATATTCATCATCACCGTGCGCACTGATGTTGTTGTTGGTCCTGCTGATGCTGCTGGTGCTGCTGCTGCAGCTGTTGTTGTGGCTGTTGCCAATTAAACTACAATTTGTAGTTGAATACGTGCTATTAAGCAGCAGGCTTCCAATATATCGACGTGAAGCTTCCTAAACTAAGATCGGAGTTGTTTTATGAACAATTTTAATTAATCTGAATTATTTGCTGCAATTGCATTCAGATTTGTTTGGCGCCAATTTTTAAACCCTTGTCATTCACAATAACCTTTAAATTGGCAGCACTGTGTGGGGAGAAATGGCAGTGCTGTCAATAACAGGTTGGCAGCACAACACACCAGCTGTTCAACAGTTGGCAACGCGATGGTCTGAAGAACTGCAAACCACTCAAATGATATAAACTAATAGTTTAGTTATTCGTGAATGGCGCACTGCCTCAATACAACAACAAGGGTGTCCCGACAAAATTGTGAAAATAGTACGTGAATGAAACTGTCGTGGAACTTGCAGCATGCATGTAATTATCTAACTGTTTATTGCGCCTTGCAGGTGCACCACAGAGCGAACAGCTGATGCAGTATTTATCGCCCTAATCAAAATAAGCAACAAGCAAGAAGGCCATAAACCAAAACAACCCCTCAAGCGGCACACATGAATCAAAACGATGATGATCGACAACAGTTACTCAATGACAATGATGATGATGAGATTTTGGGCGGCGGCGGTTGTGGCTTTGTGGCCGCCGTAATGCCCAGCGATGGCGAATATGAGGATCGATCGGATTGCTTGAACCATTTGCCAGAGTTGTGCGCCGAAGAGCCGGATCAAAAAATACAATTGACCTATGCACCCGCAGAGGGGGCTACGTTCATATTCTTTGTGTTCTACCTATTGGGCATTGGCACCATGACGCCCTGGAACTTTTTCGTTACAGCAGAGGATGTAAGTACTTGTGGAATTTTCCATAATCATGCAAAACAGTGCACCAGCATCTTGTGCCATTTATGCGACAATCTAACCCGCATCGAGAACGCGCACCCGACTTCTAAAATCTGCTTATCTGCTTGACATTGTTTTTTATTAATGCATTGTTGTTATTATTTAATTGTTGTTTCTGTTCTTGTTATCGTTTTTTGCTTTTCTTTGTTTGCATGAATTACGAGCTGAGTCACTAAACCCCGTTCATTAGCAGCTCGAATTACCCACTCCCTCTATCTCTATTGCAACTGTTCTAATGCGAACTTTCTCGCCTTCTTCTTTTTTATGATGTATGCAGTACTGGAAGTACAAATTTCGCAATACCACGCTGAATGAGACGGACACCCTAGACGAGCTGACGCCCCTACAGAAGAGCTTCACATGCGATTTGACGCTGACTGCAACCATTTCCGGCACCACTTTCCTTATACTGAACGCTGTCTACGGCAAGCATGTCTCCTTGGGCGTCAAATTACTGGGCACGCTCACAGCCATACTGGTACTGTTTGGTATTACGACTGCCTTTGTGGAGATCAACACGGATAATTGGCAGGAGCAGTTCTTTCTCATAACGCTCATAATTGTCGTCATTCTGAATAGTGAGTTGAAATCACTTTTATAGTTTTAATTATGTGTAAATTCTTTCTAAAATGACAACAATAAGGGCTTGTAATTTAAACAGGAATTAGTCATAATTTATTGAACAGAATTTTATAGTTATAATCAAATGTGATTAGATTAGAACATAACTATAGATTATTGACTCGGAAAAGTAGTTGAGAAAGCGGTCAGTATTTCGGCGGGTTTTTGAAATAATCCATTTTTTTTTTCATTGCAAAATTGTACTAGAATGACCATCAGATGGTATCTTACTCGTAGTTTTGCGAAACCTATCGAGGGTATTGTTTAATAATTGAAGAGTGCTGGACTTTGAGCGCACGATCTCAGGATTTAAATTGAATGAATTGACTTCATTGAACATTATTTACTGTAATTAAGTTATAGTTTTTCCGAACCCGAGCAGTTCTTTTGATTATAATTCCCATTTCAGTTATAATCCCTAGTTTTTTTTATTATATTTGCTCTAAAACAATCTCTTCATTTTTACAGTAAGCGCTGCTACCATGTCTGGGGGCTTGTACGGCATAGCCGGTTTGTTTCCCTCCGAATATATGACTGCTGTGGTCAGCGGCCAAGCCTTAGGAGGCATAATCACCGCTCTGGCCTTCATACTTGTGCTGGCGTTGGACACGGAACCCAAAACGACTGCATTCATATTTTTCATATTGGGAATCGTGCTCATCTCGTTCTGCATTGTTTGCTACATTATTATGGTACGGCAGCCGTACTTCAATTATTACCTGAACGGGGGCGATCAGTACAAAATAATAAAAGCAGCGCCCTCGCATAGTCGTGAGGAGGATATAGGCGTGCCTTTGGAGCCGATAATGAGCCATGTGCTTGGAAAGATATTTATGCAGACCATTACCCTGGCGCTGTTGTATGCGACAACCCTTTCGGTGTATCCGGCCGTCACAATTTTGATGCAGTCGGAGCATTATGGCAGCAAAAGCGCGTGGAGCGGTAAGTCTCCTTACTCTAACTTATATTATTTTCACCATATAACTGGCTGGGTGATTTCTAGACATTTACTACATGCCCGTGGTAAATTACTTGTTCTTCAATTGTGGCGATTACTTTGGACGTCTGCTGGCAGGCTGGTGGGATAAAGTAAGTAATGCCACGACTATTAGGAAATTCCCGTAGTAATTGAAATCATTTTTTTTAGCCCACAAATCGGCACACCACATTTCTATTTACCATTGTGCGTGTCCTGTTTGTACCTTTCTTCTTGTGCTCTAACTCTAGTGAGCATTACTTTTTACCCATTCTGATAAAGCATGACGCCGCATTTATCTCTATGATGATAGTCTTTGGATTGTCCAACGGCTACCTTACTAATAACCTGCTCATCATGGTGCCAAGGTACGTTCACTTGTTAGTGTTTTAACAGTTGATTCCCAACACTATCTTCTAACCGTTTCAGACGCGTCAAGCAACACGAAAAGGAGCTGGCGTCCTCAATAATGGCTGCCTCATTGAGCTGTGGCATGGTCCTCGGCTCCTTGCTCAGCATGGCGTTTGTTCAAATGCTGTGACAATCGAAGCAAAGACTCTACTGCAATCTGACTGCAAAATTTAATGGTGCCTTCAAATATTCTGCAAGTGTTTTGTCTAACAATTATTTAGCGAAAATTGTTTGTGTCAGTTGAAATTGTTTGGGCATTAAGTTTTTATATGATTTCTATAACCGGAGCTCCACGTGTGCTCTCGTGTTTGCGCTATCAAGTGAAAAGTGTTGTGATCTTTTGTGATTATAACAATTCTAATGCTCCAAATTGCCAATCTATAAATCGTTTTATGTAAACGTATGTTTTAAGTAATGATAAGTTTTAAATTGATAAAGTGTGTAATATAAAGGGGAATGTTTTATGCAGCTAAATAATGTAAGTCTTTTTCTCAATTGTGTATTTATGATGGTTAACTTTTATTTTAATCAGTTTTCTTGATCACAACAACAATGTGGATTAATTTGCATTAAATTTAGTTTTATTTTATTTATGAATCTTATATCAGTTTTAATTTAAGTCTCTCTAATGAATTTTCATTATAGACACACAGTTCGAAAGTTTGTTTAGGGATTTACCATATATTTTTTATATGTTTTACAATTTGTAGTTTCTCAATGAATTCTTATTGTTTGTATGAACATTTTAACAATTAATTCTAGTATTTCATTCTTATAAATAACAGTGCATGCCAAATGCCAATCGTGAAAATTGAAAATAAAAAGTCTGTCAAAAATATTTAGCCAAAGATCTCAGCTCGCCAAAAAATTGAACTTAAATCGCAGCCCCCAAAAGCATGCAACAATATTTTGTAGAAATAAATTCACACCATCGCATAATATGCAACTTTTATTTGGTTCGTATAAACATTAATGAGTTGCTTTACTTGCTGTTCATTTATCTTTGCCTGGTTTTTTATTTCGCAAAATGTGAACTTGTATGGGGGTTGTTGGCCGCACTGCCAGCACCCATTTGAGATGGCGCCATAGTCCGTTACTTTCCAATCGATTTTCAAATATTTGTCAATGTGTTTTTTTCCTGACATGTCATGCACTGTGTTTGCTTTTTAAGTAATTATTTATTATATAAATTATTGTAAACTCTTGCATACACCGAGAACTTCAGTTGGAATTGTGTTGTGGGTTTCTCTTAAGTGCCTTACCAAATTGTAACAACTGGGCTCAAATACGTATGTTGTATGTATGTATATGTATACATGTGTTTATGTAACTCTAGGATTTTCTAAACATTTATTTTGCTAATATTCGCTAAAGTCAAATTCTTATTTTTCCTTCGGTATTTTTTTAAACATTTATCGTTATTATTCGCCAACAAATTCGTTTGTTTGCCACCAAATTCCATAACTCGAGTACGTACATTTAATGAGTGAAACGACATTTTATTTGTTTTCTCTTATCGCCTTATAAGTTGGTTTGGTGTTAAACACCGGTTTTGCTTTTCAATTATTTCGTATAGTTATGTTTTGTTTGTTTTATTGTGAATATTATATTGAAAACCTTAATGATAACACACAACAACAACAACGAACATAGATTAAAGCCTGTTTTGCGAAGGGTTTATTCTTCAGCTTTTTTTGCGGGGAGGGGAACTGTATTGGCTCTCAAATGCTTTTGAGCTCAAATTGCAATCAAATGGCGTGCATAAACAAATCAATGCAATAATAATAATAATAACACTAATAAGCGTACTAAGAGGCAGCACAACTACTACAACAACAACACACAGATACAGTTACTATTACAATTAATTATGCTCTTTGACATACAACACCAAAACTATTTCATTTGCTTTTTGTAATTGTTTGTAATGTTAATGTTTTTGTTGCATTTGCGGCTTGGCGAATGGTATGTATACAATTTGTGTTAAATTGTTAATTATATATTACTATATGTATTTGTTTGTTTGTTCACTTGCATGGCCAATTACATAACATACACATACGAATAGACAATGAATGATTAGACGCATAGACAACGAACGACGATTATGGGGAAACACACATACTTATACATTGTATTCACCTATTTCTGTATTTTTACCAATGGCCTCTTGTTCCATATTTCCATATTGCTTTTCACTAGTTATGCTACGTAATTTTGCGTATTCTCCTTGTCATATTTTGTTCACAACAACTACAACACATATTCGAATTACAACATCAATGGGGGTTTTCACAATTCTCTACACAGGAAGTTCGAGTAACATTTGAGTTTGTTTTCCATTTATATGCTTCTCGTTTTTTACCTCGAAAGATTTGTGCATTAGATTTATGTTTTTCTTTTTGTTTTTTTGGGGGAGGTTTTCGTTAATAGGAAATTACAACATCTAAGGTGGTTCTGCCGTCCAGTGAAATGTTTTTTCAACTTGTATTTTGATTTTCTCATTACATGTATGCATATTCATTAGTATTTGTTTTTTGTTTAAGATTTACGTCTGCTTGTTCTATTTGGCTAAGTACACATAAATTTTGCCTATTTAATGTTTAATGCTTGAATTTTGGATTTCGTTAAAAGGCAGCTTGGGTTTATCTAGAAAAAAAAAACAAACAACATATGTGACTGGTTTACAACAAAGGGGCCTTCTATGTTAGTAATTAGGTGTGTAAATTTAATTTAATTTAAATTTATTGATTGATTGTCGATAGAGGCGCACGCACAGTTTGCGAAGCGCTGCGCAGAACGGCCCAGTGCAGCCCAAACTGTTGCAGCGCCAATTGGTATTTGGTGTTGTAGGTTCTTCTTCGCTTTTATTTGCTTTTTTTGTTTTCGCATTTTCGCATTTTCGGGTTTTTAAGTTTTTCGGTTTTTCGGTTTTCTTCATGGACGTGCACATTCATCCGGGCGCTTAGTGTGTGCGTCTGTGTGTGTGTGTGCGTTAGGTAGAGGCAAAGTCACATAATCATAAATTCATACATACATACATATGTATATACTCGTAATATAGAAGACAAACTATGCATTGGAAAACATTCGACAGAGACTTTATTAGAGGGACCAAGAAGGTAAGTGTAAAATTAACATCAGCTTTAAATTAAAAACTAAATAAAAATAGTGACTAAAACCAAGAAATAAATAGATATGTATGTAGGTACAGTATAGTAAGGCCTAAACCAACAAAACTAATTTGACTAACCGTTGGCCTAAACTCGGGTGTGCGCATTGCTTTGGGCTTCTCCGATTGCCCACGAGATTCTATCCATCATCGACAACTTACTTACAACTTACGATACAATTGAGCAGCCCATTTCTTGTTTGTGCGTGCATGAGGCGTGTTCGTAGTTTGCAGTTTGCAGTTACAAATTAAGCTTGAACTAAATACAATAGCATTAAAATAATATAAATTATGCGACATAGTAGTTTAAATAAATCGATATAGAAGTACTACACACAACCACATTTAATAGTAGAACCGAGGCATGGGACGCAGCCAGAGGAAAATAAATATGGTATTACTCCATAGCTCCGAAAATACTTAATTCATAATCAAAATATTCATTGCATTCGAGCTCGTCCGGCTGCTTTGGCTGCGACGCATGCGCACAGTTTGTTGTTAAATTTTTGTTTGTCTTGTTTTTGTTTTGTTTGTTAAAAAAATAAATTATGCTTAATAAGTTAGACACTCAGAGTTTCAGCGAAGAGTTTTCAGATAGGAAGAAACCGCACGGTTCGTACAGACATCTCGTACGTTATTATAGATATCTATGTATAGTATATATGCATATATATCTTCACATACTAAGTATATAATATAAGTATATGTATATTAAATACACCGACAGTTGCATTATCGTAATATATAGTACACATACTCGTACACACGAGTACAGACAGTTTGCGTACTCATTTGCAGAGATAGAATCAGAGAATTGGAGATAGACAGAGCTACAGCTAATTTGATCAGTAAGAAAAACTCGGTTGGGCTTTTCCCAGTTACCTTTCGTAAAGTTAACCTCGACTTAGGCGCTACGATAACACTATAAATATAGTTGGGTGCCGTGCAAAGCACTCGCTTAACGCTACAATTAAAGAGACTTTAAAACAACAACTGTCGCGCAAATACTGAGAGATACACCTGGAGGTTAGACCTGGGGCATGGCGACAACGATCTCACAAATGCATTTACGTTTTCATTTCTGACGGCGCAACAATGCTATTGTGTGACCTGGCTGGCGATATAGCCGTAGCACCCAGTCCGCCAACGCCAACGCCGCCACCGCCACCCAAAGCGGCACCATCAATGTTTAGTGTGAGATTGTTTCCCGAGGCTGGGCCTACGGTGCTTGCTGCCGAACAGCCGTGATGATGCGGTCCGTGAAAGAGCACCAGAAAACCATTGCTCGATACACAGCTACGAGATTCAGCATCCTTGTCGAGTATTTGACGAGCCTGCGGGAGAGGAAGCAGAGAGCTGGGTTATTCAAGAATCGGGTTTAAACGTTAAGTGTATAATTGGGAATCAACACAATGCAACATTTCAATCTAATTAGCCATGAGTCAACACTGCACCTAAAAGCTGAGCAAATAAACATTTGATGACCCCCTGCGATACTGACACAGGATATTTTTGATTTTCGCAAGCTGTTTAGTCAAGACAGAAAGATATAAAACGTATAAAATAGGTGACGAGGCTTATTTGATAGCATCAGAAAAAATACATATTGCCACTTGTATTCCATAATTTTTACAACTATAATCATAGCTAATTGGTGACCCCGAAGACCTAATTGGTTGATCTTATCTAGTATATCACAATATATGGAGAATTGAGCAGTGAATTTCAACTAACCTTGGAGCGATGTTCGGCCAAAGCATTGCGCACAAAATCGTGTTGCTTTTGAAGTTCGTCCGTGCGCTTCTCATAGGTCTGCTTCAGACGCGTACGCTCGGCCACTCCTCGCTCCACCACAGAGCTGGCCACTTCGCGTTTCATTCTGTGAAAATAATTAATAAACATATTTTATGGGGAAACATCAGCATTAAGAGGTGTGGGGCCTGCTTACCTGACCAGCTCGTCGCGATCCCTATGTATCGCTGCCAGATTCTTGACTTCATTGCGTCGCGCCTCCTGCAGCTGATGCATCACCTCTTCGGTGACCTTGTCCAGCGATGCCTTCAACTGTTTCATTTGACTAGTTTGCGAGTTCTTGAGCACCTTCTCGGCGGCCGCATAAATGGCCTCATGATACTTCTCCTGCAGTTCGCGGTACTGGGCCGTGTATTCACGGCACGCGCTCAGCAGTCGCGCCTGATTGGTGCCCTCAAGGCTGCTGGCACCCGACGCTGCTGCATCTGCATCGCCCCCTGCGCTGTCCTCGCTGCTATCGCCCAGATCCAGGGGGCAGGGCGGCACTTCGACGCCCGGTTCGCTGTTTGAAGAAAGACAATTACTAATTTCAACGTTGTCGTCTGGCAGGTGCCACGCCCACAATCCATATCCCAGCAGCTACTTACAGACTCTTGTTGCTCAAACGCTTCACCAGCTTGTTGGTTATGGCAAATTTGGGCTTCTTGCCGCCATCAAGGGGACTCATTTTTTGGCCAGCGATCTTCACCTTCTCCTTGTCGTGCTTCTTGCGCAGCGACTCCAGTTTCTTCTCCATTTCCAATCGCTTCTCCTTCACTGATTTGTGGTCCAACAACTTCTCCAGCGGCTCGGCTATAACCAGATCCACATCGAACTGCGAGGACTCGACTTGACGTATGGAAATGCTTACAGATTGATCCAGGGAGTGCTGATGCTGAATGCTGGGGGCCACAATGGAGACATTGTCGCCACCGCCGCCGGCATCGGTGCGATCGCTAGGAGCCTCCACGCTCATGGCGGCCGCTGCCGAAATGCTGGCTCGATGCTTTGGCGAGATGGCGATTGACTCCACGGGACGCAGCTCCTTCTTCTGGCCACCTACTTGAACGAAAACGACTATGTTGGTCAAGTTGCGGGTTGCAAGTTCGGATCGTTGTTTGGAACAGGGGAGTTAAGAGAAGTCAAGAACAGAGACAGATTGTGGCAGAGTGGGTGCAGTTTGTGTGTCCGTCAACCGAGAATGTGTTGGTGGTTTGGTTGGTTGTGGTGGTGGTGGTTGTGGTTGTAGTGTATAATGGTGGTATTGGGGGTGTGCGTGTGCGTTTAACCAAATCCAAAATCCAAAGTATAACCAAAGTTACATGACATACAAAAGAAAAGTAGAAAGAAAAGAAGGAACAGTAAATTAAAATTCAACTCAAGAGCTACCAGAAAGTTAATGAAATTATAAGTTAAAAGGAAGGTGTAGACCCCATCCTCATGCCATTCCACATGGCTATTATGTTGCCAGAACTTCGGCAAGGTAGTTATGGCAACACCTTATCGGCACTTCTCTCGTCTACTCACATGACTTCGACATATCCTCATCGGCGGTCACGGGATCTGTCTCATCTGTCAGCACCGACAGCTGTATGTCGCGCTTCTCCAGCTCGCTCTGATACTTGATGGGATTGGCCAGCGCCTCGGCAAAGTTGGACAAGTCATCGGGCACATAGTCCTTGACGACCACGCACAGAAAGAGCGAGGCTAGGGCGATGGGTTGGCCCACTTCACTACGCAGATTAACGTGTCTGTAGCCGGGACATAGGCCAATGACGGGCAGCACACGATGTCCAATCAACTTGCCGCCCTCCTCATAGGCTGCAATGCGAATGCTAGCCAGCTCGGGTAGCACGACCTTCTTGAAAACGAACGGCTCCTCATCGTACACGGGATTCATGCCATTGTCCCGCACTGTCTTGGTGCGAAACTTCTTGCGCACAGTGTCCGCGGGCAGTCCATACATGTCCACCTCCACGAACGTGTTGACTCGTTTGTCGGTGAGAAATTGGCCGGACAGTACAGTGATGGAGACCGTGCCCGCTATAATGCCATCCACCGTGCTTTCGGCAAACGGATCTAAGCGTCGATCAGAGCGACGCATGAACTCGGGCTTTAGCAGGTAACCACAGCGTAGGTTGTATTCGAAAATGCCCAGATTCAGCTGCATGGCCAGGTCGAGGGTTTGAAAGTTCAGCGCCACCAATTGGCAGCCAGCATTCCAGAATAGTTGGGGCATGAAATTGGAGCTGTCGAATCGAGTGCCCGCCGGATAGACACGCGACAGCTGATGCTTGTTATAGTTGACAAACTCTATGGGACGCTCCTTCAGGAGCGTAGTGGCTTGCTTCTCATCGAACGAGGACATCTCGTAGCAGCGATTCTTCTCTGTGGACGAAAAAGAAAAGATTTCATTTTAATAGAGTATTGTACATCAAAATCATTGGAATTCTAGAATATTACAGCAAGCCATCGATAGATTTGATAGCAGAAAAAAAAACCATCACAACCATTTCACTAGATTTGATTATCAAATGATATTACAATTTAATTCTAAGAGTTGATAAATATTTAAGATTTATGGATGGCTTGAATATTAATAAAAACAATGATTTCCAAATGTAAACAATTCCGAGTGTTGCTGGATTTTGTTACTCACTCTCTGCATTCTCGAACGAACTAAAGTGTATGGGCTGTACATAGTTGACCAGCGCGGAGATCTCAGCGCCCGCCTCCGTCTCCTTTTGGGCCTTCTCCGGTGGGGGCTCGTTGCCGCTTGGCGGATTGGGCGTTGTATTGGGCAGGGATTCGTCATCGCTTGAGCTGTCCGAATCGGAGGAGCCGGTGCTGTCCTTCGAGCTCTGGCGTATTTGCTGCAAAAGGAAAACACAGATGGGGGAATATAGATTGGAACATTTATAAAGCAGCCTCAATTACATGGCCATCTTGGCACTATCGGGTTAATTTGATTTCGCATAAAAATGCCATATAAAATGAAAAAGAAGAAATATTACGTATACGCCACCGCAGGCACACACACACACACACACGCACACACAGTGAGATCGAGAGCGAAGGCAAACAAAATGGCTGCCATTTTGTGATTTGTACACGCGGAACTATTAAATTGCATGCACAAGCAGAAGGACATGAAAGGGTCACACACAAGCACAGTCTCTTGTATGAAGTGCAAGATGGAATATGAAACCCATTATAATATTGTGGCTGCTATCGCTTGTACAAATCCGCTGGGGCAGAATGCAGAAAAATACAAGCTGAGTCGGAGTCAGAGTGAGAGGCGATGGGAAGGGCAAGGGGGTTTGGCAGGCAGCTGCAGACACAGAGTCATGAATAGATTGACAACGTCAAGGCAGTCGGAAAAGATAATATGAGCCGCTCGCCGCCCGCCGTCCGCTGGTCGTTCGCCGACTGTCTTGTCGGCTTTCTGTCTGGCATAACAGGAAGAAAATGGCGCAGATTGTGTTTCCTGCAAGTGCTCGTCTGTACAACCCCAAATAGACACACATACACTGTGCTTTTATAGCAGAGTGCATGTTGGCCATTATTGTGCATTGCATAAAGTTTACGACGCGACGCTCTCCACTCTGCTCCTTCGCTCGCCGGCTTCGCATTCAGCCTGCATCGATTCATGTCACTTCATTTTAAACGAACAATGCTACAAACTGTAATTGAGACCCCAAAGCCCATACCCATTCCAGTACACCAAAGCATTGGCACAAGAACATACAGTCAGGCTTCCAAAAAAAGAGAAGAGGTTTCTGTGCGCAATGATGGGTGCCACATGTTTTATAAAACAATCTGTCCAGCTCTCGCACATCACATTGAAATTTCAGAAAGAATGTGCGAAGGAAATTGAAATAATGCTTTAAAAATCATCGTAAAACTTGCAATCCTTTTTCATTGCTTTGATGCACATTCAATTTATTTGCGGCCGCTCGTTTAACTGTTACCAATAAATGATAAATTTTGACATATTAAGGACCGAACAATAACCCAAATCCTAAATGTAATAATTTTTAAAAGTGCTTAGCTGCTGAACAATTGGCAAAAGAGATGACCATTCAATAATTAAAGCCGAACAGAACGGATAAATGATAACTGAGCCCAACAGCCAGATTGAATCAGTTACAAATATAGCTTTATGTATTTCCATATTTAAACTTATTTATTTTTATGATGTTCTCAACTCTTAGTAAAGCATTTGTCTTAAATTTAATAAAAGGTTATATTATTTTTTTGCAATTTTTTTCAATTGTTATACAATTAGCAAGTTGAAAAACTAAAACATTCCATTTTTATCTGCAATCTTTGCTTGTAATTGGATATTTTAAACAATGAACAATTGTTACAAATCTATTAACTACCCATTCCATAATTAATAATCAGATAAAGCTATAAAAGCGTTCGTTTGAAAGCCACAGTTATCCTTTTTCTTATTTCAAATGTTGATCCCCTATATTTATTGGGAATAAGCCCTACCAGTCCAATCGTTTTACTTTAAGTTGTGGCATTATTTGTATCGCTATTTTAATTTAAAATCAGATGACTACTTTTATCTAAAATCTATCAAAGAAAATTCCAAATCCCAAATTTTGTTGTATCGAAAATAGGATGGAAAAGCAGGCCATTAAAGCAGAATAGTTCCCTTTGCATTTTAAGGCAACAGAGCATTGTTAAAAAAAATCAGTTTATCGGAAAATATTAAGGCGCTCACAAGCATAATTTAAAAACCAAAACTGACGTCAAGTTCATAAAAATCAGTTGCAATTTGAAAGCAATATATTCTTAGGGATATCTAAAAACAATATATTACGAGTATATCATAAATAAAATGTCGACCACCAAAAAATTTAGGGACTTTGTCAGCGAGCCTATGGGCAACAAGCCCGTAACACAACTGGCCGGGGTTGGCGAAGTGTTGGGACAACGTTTCAATGAAGCGGGATTCGATATGGCGTACACAGTATTGGGACAATTTCTGGTGATGAAGAAGGATGAGTTGTTATTCAAGGAGTGGATGAAAGAAGTTTGTGGCGCCAATCAAAAGCAGTTAAGCGACTGCTACGGTTGTTTGACGGAATGGTGTGAAGAGTTCCTTTAAGCATTCTATCTATTCTCGTGAAATGATTGCTATTTATGTTAGTTCAGTTTAACGTTTAGTTTCTTTAATTGCTTGTTAAAGTTTGGTTTTCCTTTAACATTTTTTTAAACCAATACATATTTTATATATACACCTAAACATTATTCCTTGTGCCGTTTTATTAGAAAGCTGCCATATCGAGTTTTCTCTGCAACAAGTCTTGTGGTGAGTCCCCAGCGAATATGTTCGAGAAAAATTCAGCCTGCTGTTGTGTTTGTTGTGATTTAAAAGGCCATAAAGTACGCGCCACTTTGCTCAAGACATTATACACAAATATATATACACACGAATATATAAATATACTTATATACACACACATATGCTCGTGTTATTGAATGGCCCCAAGGAATTGTGGAATGGCCATTGCGTTCGTACGAGAACGTATGTAATGTGTCTAATGAGCCCAAATGCATTGCGGTTATGTGCGGCGCACACAGTGCTTTCCAAACTATAAATGGCCCATGGGCCACAACACACACACACACACGCACGCACACACACACACACACACCATTACTGGTTTCGGTTTGGCACAGCGGAAGGACTCATCGTTGTGTTAACTGCCATTAGCACAGATTGCCGGCCTTCCTGCCATCCTTTCTGCATTTATTATGCAATGTGCACAAAATCATAAATAATAAGCACACACTAATAGCAAAATTGTGCAATTAAATTGAAATAATAGCCATTAATATGGAACATGAAACCAACATGGTGTGTGATTTGCCAGGATGCTCCTTGCGAACGTAAATATGTATTTGTGTACACACGAGTACATGTGCATGTTCCAATATGGCTGTGGATTTGTTTGCATTCATCAGAATCGAAAATGCATTGTAATTGCGTTAGCTTAGTAAATGGCGGAGCTAATGACTTCATTAAAGCGGGAGAGCGAGAGAACATTGCTTTTTATGGATTGCAATGAAACTTTAAGCTTTCGATACGATATACAAACAACATTTTTAACAGGCTGTCGTTTAAACTCTGCTGTAAATAATCGCATTGTCAGTATTCTCTTAGTAACAACTTGTGTCGGAAGACGGTTTTGCGGGCAATGATGCAGGAAATAAAAGAAACACTTCTGCTATAGCCGGGCAAACAGGCAATAATTTAAACATAAATTTGTCAAATTTAATACTACTATTTAGAGCTGTACCAAAAAGAAACTGCGCGTTTTCCTTATATCCCAACGGCTTTAAATTAAATTAAATTGTTTTCCGTGAAAGGAATAATTTTAATTGTATTAATTTTTAGCCAATTAAAATGTAATAACACACACAAATTTGTCCTTATATTACGTATAATGCATTTTTCGTTTAAGTGTCTCTTTTAAAATGTTGTTTTTTCTCAGCTACTTTTCGTTTTTATTTCTTCCTTACGTTGCGCTATTAATAAATCTTTCGATTGGGTGAAGCTGTGAAGCATTTCGCGGACTGTCGACTTCTAGGAACATAATTATCTTGCAATTATTTATTTTATTTAATTTATCTATGTATATAGCAGATATTTTAGACATTCAATAGAATCGTCCATCAAGTGACTGCATAGTTATCGAATTTTAGTTTTGGCTACTTTTACCTGCTTTTCAATTTAATTTTTTTATTTTGTTTTTTTGTATCTTTTAAAAATTATGTCTTCGCAATACATCTTAATAGAGGGATTGGTTCTCAATATTTCATCCAAATTCCGTGCAGACATTGATTGCTTGTTCTTATTGATTTTGACCACTTGTATCCCAAAGTGAGAAAAGGCAATGCTAAAAAACTTAAAAGTATAGACGTTCTAAGAGCATTTGTCATAGTTCTTCTGGTCTATATAGGAAGATACAGTGTCGTATCTTGAATATGTGTAGTTTCCTTTCGGTAAAGTCCTTATTTAAACAAATACTAGAACTATAAAAAAAACCCTTTTTATAGCAACAAATGTCTTTGAAATGCATTTTTATAAATTTAGAAAATGTTTTGGCTCTAAATATGAAAAAATATTGTTGAAACGACAACTTTTCATAAACATAAACGATTCAAAAATACATTATAGCTTTGCTCTGTAGCTTTGTAGCAAGTAGAGAGTACGTTTATATACAAGTATAGCGCATTGAGCCGGAAAAAAGATGAGACGACTTCTGCAAAATATTAGCCCAAGTTCTATTATGAGTGCGATAGCTAGGACAGACTCGAGAAGCTTCTGAAGTATTATTTACGAGAGTCCAACTCTTTTTCCCATAATTTGATTCGCCATTAATCACGTTAGTTTGCAGAATTGGCTATGATATTGCCTGTCATATTTTATCTTTACGCCACAAACAACACATCAAAGTTAAAATTCCGTTTGCATTCGTCAACATGAAATGAAATTATTTACATGACTTTAACTGAAAAGTAAATTTATTGGTGGAATTAAATTGCATTTCCACGAAGTCCGGCAATATCCATGCATATTAAAAAATAATAATAATATTGCGTGAAATAATGACATGCTGGGCGTCCGCATATGTTGAATTGCTATGACGAGGACACATTCAATTGCAGAATTTCAACTGAATGGCCCTCATCGAGAAAGCAGCTACAACAACAACAACAACAACAGCAGCAGCAGCAGCCTGTAGCCTGTGTTATGTCATGGGGATTATCATGATGATGACGATGATGATGAGGATGATTTCTAGCGTAAACAAATGTCCGTACAGCAGGCATGACAAGGGCTGTAACAACAGTAATAATGAAAAACAAAAACAATACACTTTTACAAATGGGCAAGTCAAGCACCGCAAATATGCGTGCCGGAATGGCGTTCCATTAAATACAATTACAGGCATGCTACGCACCCACACGCCCCCACACTCTCACCCACCCGAATGCCCCAATTCCCCCCTTCCTGGCTTACTCACTTGCAATGGCGGCGCATGTCCTCCGCCCGTTCCGCTAACGATGTCACCATTTGCGGCGCTTGCCATTGTGCGTCCTCCAGCAACAACATCTTCATGTGCTGCAACTTGTTGCCCATTGTTGGCTGCCGTCAGAGCTGCGGCTGCTGCTGAGGCTTTGGCTGCGGCATCCACTGTCGAAAAACAACAACAACAACAAACATGAGAGAGAGAGAGAGCAGGAAAATATTGAAAATAATTCTTGTAAAAATATTTTACATGTCGCAAACAAATTAAATTACGAAAGTGCTGCAATATTTACGAGCGCTGGATGCGTTTCAAAAAATTGTGTTTGCCTTTAATGCAATATAAACATTAATACAATATAATAAAATGCTGGTTTGCACATGGTTTGCGCAGCAGCATTAAAAAATATGGGGGTAGCGCCAAAGTTGCCCCAAAGGGCGGAACTGCCGAACACCACAGCGGAAGTTGCAGCAGTGGAGCACAAAATTGTTCGAATGGGAGTAGCAGAAGGAGCAGCTGCAGCTTTAGCTGCAGATGTTGTTGCTGTTGCAACAACAAAACAACAACAGCTACAGAGGCCGCTCTTGCAGCTATATGTGGGTGGGTGGGTGATTGGATAGAGTGGGGATTGGCATGGTTGGTGGGGTCTCGGGGTCATCAACGAAGCAAAAGTCATTTGCATTTATAAATTGGCTTTTTGCAATTCATGAGCAGACTGTGACAGTTCAGTGTAGGTCAAGAGGAGCTGTGTGCGTGTGTGTGTGTGTGTGTGTTGGGGGGATCAGGCGTTCGGTTTCTGTTCTGTACGCTCAGCACAAAATGGCGGCGACAAATGTCAACGGTGTATTTTGTGCAGCTGCGCATGCAAATCGGTCCAGCAGGACGCCAACGGCCATTAGCCGGCGCCGACGTCGAAACTTCAACCGAAACCGAGCTGAGCTCAGCTGAAGCGGACAACTAAATAAATTTATATGCAAAGCACTAATAAAAGTTTGTGTATATGCATATATATTAATATAATGTATGCGTAACATTTAAAAAGTCACAGCAGCACAGCAGCAGTAACAACAACAACAACAGCATTACAAATAATAACTACACTCAACTGCATACAGACACACACAAATATCTTTTGTACGTGACAGTTTTTGTTAGAATACCAGGCTAACTAAATCAAAGGGTACCACTTGTATGTATACGAGAGATCTGTAGAGTTTGTGGAAAATATTCCGAGGGAGATGTCAAATTCTATTCGCCAGTAGATAAAATATTTTTGGTCATTGATATAACTTTATCTTTTAACTAAAATTATTATGATACCAGGACTGATGTTAATTTTGGGCAAGCAGCGTAGCTCCAAAGTGTTTGTATTGCATTGAGAATATGGTAATTATTTTAAATATGAAATATGCACATAACAATACTGTTTATTATTTGTACTCCTTCAAGTTAAGCGAATGTTTAGTAACGACTTTGTTTTCTTTAACGAGGAAAAACAAAATATGGCCGCTTTTATTACTTTGTTGATGTCAACAATTCTTGTGGATGTCAGCAATTTAATTAGCAAGCAACTTGCACAATAAAATATGTAAGGTCAGAAAGATGGGATGCAGATATACCCATCATATTTGTATATAAAGTATAGAAGAAAGTAAACAGGACTTGGCGAAATAGGAAAGAGCTGCTAATCGTAGTTAAATACGTAGTTCAAGATTCTCTTTATCTGAAAAATAACAAATCTAAAATCTAAAAATATTTAATAATTGAAATTTCAAGTATAACTTCTAAGGAACACTAATGCAGTTTTTAATAACAATGTTGAATGTGAAATCTAAACCTATCTAATAAACTGGTGTTATTTCTTTACTACCAAAACATGTTGATGAACTTTGTTTTAGCTATTGCTATTAACTGTTTGCTAAATATCTGCTACACCAGTTTAAAGTTTTTCTCTTGGTGCTAAAAATAATGAAAAATAATGAAAACAACATCGTGTCATGTTGTTTTTGGGGAGGCCGACTGGCGTCGAATGAGAAGTTTGGGATTAATTTGCATTTGAGTCTAAAATAAACAGAAAAGTGGTTTGTTGATGGTGCACAAAAATTTGCTGACTACATGTGTGTCGACAATAACAATAACATAGTTGCCACAACAATGAGAAATAACTCATTAAGCATACGCCAGATGGGCAGCATGAACACACTCGCACACTCACCTGAGTTGGCCGCCATCAGTTTATTGGCAGCTTGCGTTCCTTGGCCAGCCTTCTTGTGATGATGGTGGTGATGGTGATGATGGTGCTTCTTCTTATTCTTGATAATGATCTTGCGTCGCAGCTGGGCCGGAGGTGGCAAATCGACATTGGGTTCCAGTGGATACGCATCGAGCGGCTTGTCCAGCAGCATTTCGCCAAAGATTTCGCGGCAATAGTTGGCAATCTTGGCCTAGACAAGAGCAGAGATCAGAAAGAGAGATGGAGAAGGTGTGGTTAAGTGTCTTGTAACTGGCTGCTAACCAAGAATTAATGAGTTTTGCCTCAGACGAGCAGGCAGCACGCCATATTAAAAGTTTCTCGAGCTAACTTTTACAGCTACCTGTGTAATATACATGCTCGAACGCATATACACTTCAGAATATACATACACACGTATATACATAGAATACATATGCTTGATATAAGTTTGAAAGATGCGTGGAAGTCTCTGACAGACGGCTACTATGGCCCGATGGCTCCCTGTGGCAAATTTAGTTTGTATTACTACTTTTAATGGTTAAACTTTTGCCGACTATCCCCGTCTGCCGCATCGCCCCCTGCGTGCTCCTAGGCGGCCGTAAAAAGTTTGCTTTGTTATCACCGCCGGAGTTGGCGGAGTTGCCGGAACGTTAACGCAGAAGCAGCGCACGATTAGCGCTCAAGTGTGGCCTCTACAAGCCTAGAGATTTCCAAAGTCTTTAAATAATGTTTAGCTGTAGCGAAAAGGCAGCCCTGGGATTTGTTGTATGTGTGTGTGTGTGTACTCTATTCATAAACTATGCACACACAAAAAACACACAACCGACCGGGGCGACTGCCGGGGTAGTCACATGTGTGCCCCGGCTGGGCCAGAACTTTAGTTACAGTTTTGCATGGAGTGGCATGATGAATTGTTTGGGTTGTCGATCTGCCTGTGTGTGTGCGTGTAAATGTGGCTGTGATGAGCTGTGTGTGCTTGCCTGCCAGACAATGTCAACTGTTGTTTTAGGATGTGACCAACTACTACTGACTTGCTCTTATACGAGTATGCTGCAAACTTCCTACCCTGCAGATGGAGAGTTTGACTTCCGACAAACAGGCACTTAAATAGATGACTTTTGTTTATTCTACTTTATTTTCATCACAATTACATTGGAGTGGCAGAGCTAATAGGCAGTTATTCAACCATATGCAATATGGTTGGGAGTTGGAGTTGGAGTTTATGAAAGCTTGCTTAGCAGTTTGAAAAGTAAACGACCCTATTACATCAGACTTTATATTAAGCTAAATGAAAATAGAAGAAAATAAAATACAGTCCAGAGAATGCAAAATTATTGACTTGCAACAGTGTAAACGAGATTAGCTGCTGATTTTCGTATGATATTTATCTTTATCTTTCTTTCTACAATCGAGCTTAGCTTCAAGTCTCTTTCCCTGTGAACTCTATGAGCTTTTTGTGAGTTTTTCCCACCTAAAGGAAACAGTTCCTTCTCTATATTCAATAAATTGTTAATAATGTGCGAAGATTAAGGTGAAAATAATATAAAATATGTAGTTTTCACTCACCTGTTGCCTGGGATTGCAGTGATTTTCAAAACTTAATATCACAGGGTATTCGGATGTTTTAAATGCGCTCTCTGCAATCGCCTCCAACACATCCTTGGCGAATATTTCGGGCACAAACGTATAGCCATGCACAATGACTGGCTCCTCGGTGCGCCCATTCCAAAAGTCCAACTCCACGCATCTGCGAAACGAGAGGAATGTGGCAGGAAATGTAGTTGCGTAAATTGTGCACTAAATTGCAATAAAAACTAGATAGTAAACCAAAAGGCCATAAAATGTGCCACGAAAAAAATGAGCACATCCAGCGTAAAATGACGTGCATAAAAAATGTTTATCAAATTGCATTTAATGGCCGCCATCCCAACGCACAGATAAACAAACAAAATGTCCTTGCTCTTCGTAAAAAAAAACAAGAACTGTTACAGCGTTTGCGTCAATAAATTTTTGTTGCCTGTGAAAATTCGTGTCTGAGCGCGCGCGTGTGTGTGTATGTGTGTGTGTGGTAGCAACATCATCACAGCGGCAGCAAGCAGCAGCATCATCAGCAGGCAGCAAGCAGCAAGCAGCAGCATCATCGACGGCCGATAAAATGGCGACCAAGCAATTTCCGTTGCACTAAAAAGCAACGCAGCGTCAAAAATGTGCACCTGCCATATCAACGTATGTTTGCGGCCTTCACACACACACACACACACACACACACAAACACCCATCAAGGTCAGGGCCAATAGCAACGGCAACATCAACAGCACAGCCACAAAAACGACCACCAATGTACTTAACAACTGACCACATCATCAGCGCATCATCATTTGCGATAGTTGGGAACTCACCTGCAACCGGCCAATAGGCATTGCCTATATATTTCCACCGACGATTTGCCAGTCAGCTGATGTCCCGTTAGGTATGTGTTGTGTGAGGAATTAATAAAGTAGTGCGACATCGGCTGATCCATGTCATCGCACAGATCGAGTTTGTTGGGCGCCATTATTGGGTTGTCGTCGCCCATGAGATACCTGCAAGTGGCGGAATGTCGACAAGGAGTTAAAACAGTTTCGTGTATACTCGTTTTTGAAAGGATTAAGCCGTAATTACTAAAATGAAATAGTACTTTCATTATGAACCGACAACAATTAAATATTTATTGCAGTTTCGCTTTTAAATGTCACAATTAATTGCCGGCAGTTGAGACATGTTTTAATCGTTCTGTGACATTTCTGTGAGTGCAATTATTGGGATTACTCTTATTGCGATTGTCAAATTGTTAAAGCTTGAGTGCTCTGTCTGTTCAGCCATAAAATTAATTTTTATTAAACTGTGGAATAATTAACTACAAATTCAGCCAATCGATTACTATGTATGTTATTTAGATTACTTGAATTGCCTTTTAAAATAAACGTAATTTCTTATATTTAATCATTGGAAATATCAATATAGATATCATTCGGAAATGGAAAAACCATTTGCCGGAATTACCCCTGCTACGGAAATTACGGAACTGGAAAGAGATAATTTTAATAGCATCACATTGTTGAAGAGAAATGTGGCAGTGCGTTGCTGCCAATCAAATCTACTATTTCAAGTTGCAAAGTAAACCAAAATCAAAAATATTCCTTTCTTTCTTCTTCTGATTCATGATTGAATAACGACGCCATCCGCTGGCGTAAATTTGGATATGGAATTAAATATCTTTAACGATTCATTGCATGTTTTGGTTTTGTTCCGCATAAGTTGACTGCTAATTAAAACTCGTTCTCATTAATCTATAGCTGTGACTGACAAACAAAATTTTAAACCTGATTGACTCTCCATATTCGATTGATTAAGCTACGTGTGATTGTTAAGTTTGCTCTTGAAAGGAAAACGCTTCAAGGTCATCGAAGTCATTTAAAAGGCTTGAACCACCAATCTGTAGGACATAACAGCTGGTGTTCTTAAACATTCATTTCAAAATCTTTTTGATCGTGCAACACATTATTTAAAATAAAATAAGCTTTTTTCCGCAAAATATCAATACTGAATTCTTATTTTTAAAAAGTCCGGGTTTAATTTGGAACGCACTTTGGATTTTAATTCAAAATTTCTTTGTTTTTTTAAAGAATGCATCAAATATAGGTATATTAAAAAACTGAAAAATGCAAGATGTTAAAAACTATCAGATGTTCAGAAAAATTAGTACAATGAAAAAATGTTGGAAATATATTCGATTATAATAAAGCAAATTTATTCAGAATAAAATAAGCGACATAGGTTAAGGTTTTTTAAAAAAATGAAAGAAAGGCCTTCACAAATAAACGTTATTGAAAAACACAACTTATTTTAAAATTGAAAATTTTTAAAATTGCATTGTCTTTTATCAACACTTCCTTCAAGAACGACATAAATAAATACAAAAATTGCGAATGGTTAATGCTCATTTAATAATTGATTAACCTAATCAGTGTTAAATATGAAGTTATTTGATTTACAAAGCTTGCGTTGAAGGCTGAGCTTCAAGGGCTAAGAAGAAATAGGAATACTGAAGGATGTTTCAAAATATAATGGAATTATTTATGATGTGCGCTATATTCGAAGAATACAAAATGTTCGTTCCACTTGCAGGCAACACGAATATATAAAAAGCGACGCATAAAAGAGTATTTCATATTAATCGCAGATTTCACAGACGAACGCATGACAAGGGCAGAGACACTTATTTACAGTGCCCGATTATTCACCGACACCTTTCTCTCAATTGCCATTACAAACATCCATAAAAGTGATATAAATGCATATAATCGAACATTTCTTTGTTGTGAGTTATTCACACATGCAGGTTTTTTGTTTGCATTATTTTTAAATAAATGTATTTCTTTTTTTTATGGGTTGCGGTGACAAAATGTTTAACAGCACGTTAGCTGTTTATATTATTTCCATTTTATTCATACTTCAATCAATGCCATAGGAGAGGTTGGCAATAAGTACGATACATTTTCATACTCGGAATGCAAAATAAAACGAAGAATAAGTTGAGACTCTTTGTTCGCAGTTTCTGAATTTAATTTGAGCCACGTATATGGTACGAGTATATTTACTATTTTGCAATCTCTGAAATGCAGCGAAGCAGCTCGCAAATCGTTGCGCGTTTATTTTGCCATACTCGAACATACGTGGAAATTTGCATGTGTGTGTGGGTGTGACAGCTGAAGGCCAGAGCACGAAAGCAGTTGCTTAAGAAGATATGGCAGCCTGTGGGCTGTTGCAGAAACGGCTTTAGCGTCGATGGCCTTCGAGATGCACACGAAATAAAGGAAAACGTTGATAAATTTACGGGCAACAAACACACATCTGTTGGCAACAATGAACGAGGCAGGGATTGGGACTGAGAATGAGATGGCGAATGTGGCATATGCATATGCATGGCATGCCTCAAGTGCCTTGAAGGACTTGCCACGTCACTTGCAGCAGTAGCGGCAGAGGGTGGCAGTAAAAATGACTTAATGCCGGCACAAAAAGCTGTCAGAGCCAGTCTGCGAAACACGCGACGAGCATCTACAAGAGAGTGTGCAGAGCCCGAACTGCCACACACACATACACACACAATCACATACACCCGCTCACAAACAGGCAAGTTTGCGACTAAGCTTAAGCCTTTTGTAAGAGTGTGTTTGAAAGTGTGTGGGGATTGCCAAGGGGCAACAAGTTAACAGGCCGCAACACGTGGCGTATACTTAATTCAATTTAGCAGTCGCACTTACCTCAAGAAGCCATCCAAACTAAGTTGTCCCTTTTGTGCATTGAACTTGTTGGGCTCGTATTGTTGTATCAGCTCCTTGGCCCGTGCAGGATTCGCATATGGATAGAGTATTTCATTCAGGCGTGGATCGCGCTGGGTTTTATTCAAAAACTCCACAAGCTGTGCAATCGACATGCATTTGCGTTTCGAATTCCCGACACTAATCAGAGGGAGAGAGAAAGAGGGGGCTATAGTTTGTGTAGGGAGCCAACTGTAGAGCAAAGCGCACTCACATGCTATCGAACAGACGTTCGACTTCCGAACGCTGCGTCAGATATTTGTACAAATTGTAAAAGTCTTCAAATTGAAATTTCGACACCGCTATACTATCGACTTTGCCCGATGGCAAGCCGGTCACGTCCAGCGCCTTCTCGACACGTTTACGATCCTCTTTATTCTGCGCAAAAAGTTTAATGATGCTAAAGTGGTCACGACCGGCAACAACAATAGCAACAATAACAACAACAATGATGACGACGACAGCAGCAGGAGAGCATGAGAGAAGGAGAGCGGGCGATGAGGAAAGATGGGCGGTTGAACGCAGACAATGCGGTTGTTGGTGTTGATGATGAGATGATGATGTTGTCGTCATCGCAATCGCCATCGTCGTCGTCGTCGTCGTCGTCGTTAGCATGCCATTTCACATTGTTGGTGTTGTTTGCGACGGGCAGTGATGCATGAGAAACGTTTCGGCCACGTTGTATTGTTAGGCGGCAGCACGAGCAGCATCCAAGCATGTGAAGACGTGAGCCAGGCGCAGGAACAGGAGCAGGAGCAGGAACAGAGCCAGCAGCAGGTGCAGAAGGAAAATGCGAAATAGAAATTGGCGTAAATTTCAATTTTCAACTGAACGTCAATGGCAACACTTAACAAATATTTGTCAAATGCTTCAACGCACAATGCACAAAAGCAATTCCGAGCAACCGTCCCACCATAGGCCCCCCACCCCTCGTACAATGTGCGTTGTAGCAAGTGAGTTTTTGGTAACATTGGCAATTACTTTTTCACTGGTATTCGTCCACTCTTGTCCACCTGCAGACAGAGCTTTGTGTGCGCCTTCTGCAGAAACATAATCGCCGATCCGTTCAGTTGGGCCAGACTGTAGGCCAATTTGATAAGGCCGTCGGACCAGAGCTGCAGCCCACAACAAAAGAGAGAAGGAATAAGAGAGAGAATAAATAAATGAAATACATTTTTGAAAGGTCGACGCAAATTGTGTGGCAAAGTTACAAGTTACACCAGAATATACATATGTATATGTAAGCATGTGCTTGTGTGTGTGAAGGTAAAGTAAATTAATTTGAAGCGCATTGGTACTAGTGTGTGCGAAGATTGTTTATAATTATTGATGAAAAAACTCGAATGGAAATGGGCCAAGTCGAGCGTTTTGTTTGATGTACGCGCCACATGCGCAACAAATATTGTATTTTTATAGACTTCTCTGTGCTATTATAGTGTATGGAGATGCAGACATTAGACATGTTATTGTTGTTATTGTTAGAGTTTAAGCTTCTGAACAAAGACATTTGCTTGCTAAAAAGATTGTTCATTTGAAGCTTAGTTTCTTACAAGTATTTGTTTTCATGAAGTCGACAATATTTTATATTTGCACCACTAAGTTATCTAATTGATAGTAAAGGGGAAATCTCCACAAATTGATGAAGGTGCTGACTAAAATAAAGTCTATTTATAACTTTAAATCTCTCTGTAAATATAGACAGGAAACGCTTAATTTAGATAGACGGATATTCGTATCCGATTTAATTTAATTTATTCTCTCATGCGTATTTTCATTGAATTCATCTCCTTATTGTTAACAAAATTCATTTATATGTATTATACTTGCACGTCTCTAGCATTCTAATCGTATTCTTGTTTCTTTCATTTACAAAATTTGAAAATTTAATACTCCAACACTAACAGTTTTATTAAGAAAGCATTGTATCTTCACATATGCAGGCTCATTTAATTTTTAAAACCAATATGTGGCTGAACTACAAGTAAGAAGCCTTACAGCTGCTGCTATTTGATTAGCTAGTCGGTTTTTAATTTTAGACTCTGTGTTATAAATTGGCATTGTCAGACATAAATAGCAGACGCTGTCGAATCGGAAACTTTGCCAAAATTTATTGCGAAAAATTGCGTGTTTATTTATTAATGTATTCAATTTATTTTGGCTTTTTCGTATTTCGTTAAAGTTGATGAAATGTTGGCATTAAATTGTTTAGAGGAAAAGGCGCGAGACGCGTGCCAAAAATAACAACAACAACCATGCATGGATATGTACAAGTATAGTATGTTTTTGTGAACAACGTCGAGCTCGCCCATAAAATAGAACATTGATTTTTGGGCCCCAAGGACGGGTTGGCGCAGACTACACACACGACTATGGCTATGGCTATGGCTATGGCTATACTCGTATGTATGTTTGCGGACGAAATAGCATAGTCTGTCCATTTTTCACACGAGTATGTCCAGTTTATGGCAAACAAAATAGCAGCAGCAAAAAGGCGTGGCAGCGAAAGGCCGCTGATATGACAGAATCGCGCGCGCAAAATCAATAAACAATACAAAAAAAAACAAAAAAAGTGCTACAAACAGAACATGTGTGACGCTACATTTTACAGGTTTTTCTTTTTCAGAGGGAAATTAAAAATAGAAATTGACAGGCTTGCTTGTTGAGAGGTGTGTCAAGTGTCCAGGGACGTGTCAAAATGGCGGACAGGCTAAGAATCAGTAATAGCCTGCTGACCCAATTTTGCAAAAAGAAAAACGAACGAAAAATAACGAAACAAACAATTTGACAACTGCCTCGCCGACCCACATAGGAAATATTCAATTCTATATCTATATTACTTTTAAATTGTGAGGACAACGAGCGGCGGCCCATTGTCTTCAATATGTCAATTGTCACGAAAAGTGTCAAAGAATCTCGCCAAGTGGCCATAATGAGCCGTTGGCTCATTGCCAAAAAATTAACGAACCATCCCAAAGTCGGCCGAGTTCCTCCGCCCCACCACTCACCTGCGCAATGTCTCGTTTGGTGCAGCAAAAGTTCACAAAAGTCATATTGACAAAATCCGAACCATGACAAATGGTGACCGTCTTCTCCTCCAGCGTGTCCTGCAGCCCCATTGTCACAATTTGGCGCAGCTTAGCATCCTGTAAATAAAGCAGGACAGAATGGAACATATTTATTAATTAAGCGCGCAGATGAAATGAAGTTTTATATACTCGAAGCCACTAAATCAGTGCAATGTTCAGACCTTCAAATTGCAGCGCCCGGATTAGTCTGAAGGAGCTTGGTGGCTGACCGTAAAACTCATTTGGTCATCATAAAGCAAATAACGGCCAAAAACTGTCTAAACCACAAATTACGTTCGGGGTCCTTCGGGCGCCATATTTCAATTAAAAGGGCACAAATGGATTTACGAGCGTTGTTTACTCCACCAGCTTACTGAGAGCTTATCAACATGAGTTTATCAACGGCCGGACACGTTTAATACAAACACCCACACCCACACCCACAGACACACACACATGCAGAGAAACACACAGATACATACATAAGTGGAGGGACAGAGCATAACAGTAATTCAAAATGCAAAGCAATACAAATGGCACAACAAAAGTGCATATAAACGACAGCAACAACAACAACAACAACAAGGGTGTACAGGGTGCCAATATTGTAGAAAAAGGTAAATTAGAGATGAGCAATGATCTGTGATTTTATCACGAGCATAGGAAAGCGAACTGAAGAGACTAAGCGATATCATCGATTGATGAACCTCTGAATACTTAGTTTATATGTTAGGCAACCAAACTTGGCTAGAAGAATCCTTGCTCTATTTATTTATTTATTTCATCGACAAGCAATGCAGTCGATGTAAAAGAAAAAAAAATATATATATATACATTAAAAAATCAAAACAAAAAAAAACTTAAACTAAATAAAACTAAAGAAATAAAAAAGCCTATAAAAATGACAAAAATATCTAATAACGAATCCGACACGGTGGGTGATGATTTGCCAAACGGCCAGCCATGTCCCGATTCACAGCAGAGAGTAGTCAGATACGTTATTAGATCTATCAAAAACAAAAAAAATAGCAATAAAAGATAGAAGAATACAAAATAAAATTAAAATACTTAAAATAAATAAATTATAAAATATAATTAAAAATTAAAGGTGAAGAATCACTGACCCTTTGGGGGGAAATTTATTAGCCAGTCCGGCAAGCCATGCTTTTTATCTAGCATTGTTTTTCACTGATGACTGACCAGTGAACATAACTGTTTATATATTTACAGATCTCGACATTTGTCTGCAAGTCTAAACGTTAGGATTTCAACAATTCTATTATTCTATTTTTGTTTTGTAAATTATTTTAGTCACGGCGGCAAAGCTTTTTATGGATAATCTGCAAAGAACTACTAGTTTAGGTGGCTTTCGATATCATCATCCTCATTGTCTTCAGCTAATAGTTAAGCATTTTAAATAGTGGTTTTATTCGACTGTTCATTCGCCCAGTTCATTAAAAGTTTTCGCAATTGCTCGAATATTGAGACTCGAATAGTTCAAGTGAACATGTGATCGTTTAGACTTTGAAATGATTGTTCTATCTCGATGGGACGAAACGACTTCTCAGGTCCTTTTACATCTTTAACTTGCACAAACGACCTTTACTCTTATTAATGGAGACTGCTGTAAATTTTAAAAGCTTTATTGCTGATATAACTCACTCTCTTTAGTCTGATACTAAGACAGCAGTATTGTTCATCACTGATGCACATAAAGCAAAAAGACTGGCAGGACATTGTACATAGATAGTCGAACAGAATGTGGTATAAAAATATATCTATGCGAGAGAGGGAAAGGCGAGAGACAAGCAGCAGGATTAGTTTTTTGGGTTTGCTACAAGTTTTTCAGTTAACCCAACCACCTAACCATTCGTGAACTCATCAGTGCCAACCCTAAGCCCAAACCCATTCTGCATTCACGTTCAGCTTGGCTGTAGCTGCCCTTCTATTGTTGTTGCCAACGCTCGATTGCAAATCCAACATCAGCTAAGGCTTATCGTTATGAGGCGTCTCCTGCTGCACTCCCTGCCCCATCCTGCACTCATCGGCCTGTTGAAATGCAGAATGCATGGATACAATGTGCGAGCAATACAAGGCAGAGTATGTGGGGGTGGAGGGGGACTCAGAAGGGGTCAAACAATTCTCGTTGTTGCTTCGTTCAGCGTTTGTCAAAACGGAAGCGCAGACATGAATTTGGCATTAACTTTGGCCAGCAAATGTCTTGACATTTTGAGCATGTGTGTGTGTATGTGTGTGTGTCGGTGTGTTTGTGTAATGTTGGTTTTCCTGCAGAGTTTCCGACTTGCGGACAGTTGACAAACGGTTTAGGCAACGTTGCTCTATATCAATGTATGTGTGAATGTACGGGAATAATGGTTTAGTAGAATTGCCTGATTATGTGCAAAGCATGCATGTTTTGGCCAACTGTCTCTTAGTGTGTTTATGTATACGAATACGTACGAGTATATGCAAATTCTTAGGCAAGCAACTGCTAATCGAAATACATATTAAATTGATAAATTTAATTCGCATGACATAAGCAGACAATTTATTTCAAAGGAGTGTCCGATACAATTGATTTGATTGCGTGCTGAAAGCAAACTTGAGCCATCATATAAAGCCAGCAGTAGGCGATTTATCATAAAGATATGCATTCATTCAATTCCATTTTCGACATGGTCCGTCCTAATGAAATGAGAAGTTTAAGGAAAATAACCAACATAAAATGAACCATAATTAAAGTTCAGAGAGTGCAGACGAGAATGTAAGCGAAGAGAGAACCCATTATAAAAAAAGAAAAAATAACATAATATAATAATGGAGAGAAGCAAAGCATTAAAACATATAATGTTCTAAAAATAAATGCCTCAAACATTGGAGACCGGCAAGATTAAATAGAGTCAAATATAAATGTATAGAATTGTAAGGTAACCAAACATATACAGTTGTATTCATGAGAATATGAAAATAATAAAAGTTAAAGCTTTCTATTGTTAAATAAAATAAGTTTTCAATAGCAATATTAAAAGCCTTCTGAATTACAGAAAACTCTTTTTGTTGAACTATTCTTTTAAGGTTAATAATAATTGGCAACCCTGCCAATGGCCTTTAAATGTGTATCCAATAAGTATATATCCGAATCGATTGAACTACATGACAATTGAAGTTGTTGTCGGTTGCATCGAGGAGCCTCTCAGCCATTAAAAGTCTCGCAGCTGAGCTCTTTCTGCCTGCAGCCATGACAACTGACCTGGTCTGAAGTCAAAGCCCATTACAATGATCAGAGCTGGCTGAGCCACAAGTGAAAGCTGCTTTGCTTGCCAATTGCCATGCAAATAGAGCCAATAATGGGCTTGGACAGGCGGGCGGCTGACGGCAGACCCGTTCAGGAGGCCAATGTGACGATAAAGCAGTTTGTGTCACAAACTCTCCTTTGTGTGTTGGTGCTTGTGTGTTGGTTTGACTTTACAAAGGACTTAACTGTTTGACTAATTGAAAGGTTTGCTGCTGACAAGCGCGCAAACTTTTTGGCCATAACGAGGCATTACGGAGTCATTAAAGAGCTGTGCACAAAATGCTGATAAATGATGAGGAGGCGGCACAGGCTGCCGTTACCTCTATTGCCCGTCTACCTGTCCGTCTGACCGCCTGTCTGTTCAGCTGCCTGATAGAAGCTTCCACTAAGTGCTCCCCAAACGCGTGGCCATAAAATGCCGGCGCACACCTGTAACGAATGGCATACGCCAGAGTTATTGCTGTCTCCCTTTTCCCCCCTCTCTTTCGCTCTCTCTGTCCTTTATCGCGAGCTGTCTGCTTGCTGCTGCTTCTGATTCTGCTTTTGCTGCTGTTCTGCTACTGACGGCTTTTCCCGAGCTTATCTGACGTTGCAAGCGCGCGCGCGCCATGATTTGCTTTTAACTAAAAACTAATTCCGGCAAATTTGTCGTTTGGCATAATGGGAACGTGGAAAACACCCGGACCCGGACATGGCACGGGCAAAGACAGCGACACAGGCGCGAAGCGTTAAGCGGAAATGACTACGGCGATTATCTTAATTGCTTCTCACGCTCGCACACGCACAGAGCACGCGGCACACGTTCGCGCCTTTCTCTTTCTCTTCCATACAGTATATATATATATATATGTATATATTTATATATATATGTGTGTGTGTAGAGTATGTGTTTTAGTGCATTTACTAATCCTTTGGCTCTGCTCGAAATTTGAGTTTTAAGAATGCTCATTATTAAGCAGCGTAGGGCAGGGCCGGTGACTGTTGGCCACGCCACTTTACTTTCCATTTGCCCTTTTGAACTTTCCAACGCACAATCGAGCTAATTAATGAAGATTTATATTTTCTCCTATAACATTAAATTTGTAATTATAAACCCTAATGGAAAAATATATGAATCGTAAACCTGTCATCGCCTAAATTAAATCGCTAAAAAAATGATGTGCAATGAAAATCTGAACTTAGTTTTTGTCGAATTAGTAGAGCTTGCACACACAAAAAACAGATTCGGATACGTATGTATATATGTTTGGAGATAAGTTCACAAATGCCCAGAAATTGTGGCTGACGAAGAACTAAATGGAAAATATGTAAGCTACCTGAAAGCCTTAATTTTACTTAACTGATTAAATTCGTAACAGTAACTCTCTTTTCAAATAAATAAATTTTCCTGAAATTTTCTTCACCCAATTTAGTTGGAAATTTTAAGCACTATATATAGTAAGTATGTTGTATACACTCTGTCTATTTTGTGCCACAGTGCAACGTGCTCTTGTGTGTGTGTTCTTCTGCTATAATTTTAGAGACGCTCTGCGCATCATTTACATTTATTGATTTTGAAGGTGCTAATAACGTTAGGACGCTTGGGCTTGGCACTTTTCTTTCGGGTGCTGACACAATATATTTAGAAGCTAGCGTTGGGTTCAATGCCAGTACAAAATGTCTCTCTCACAGCTGTAACTTTTTTGTGGCGCTAAAAAATATGTAGAGCTTTGCGCGTTCCAAATTTCTGTGGTACTTTTTATTAAAATTTAAAAAAATACATAAAAAAAAATTAAAAGAATAATTGTAAAGAATTTGGACTGATATGCGCAGAAATAACCATGACCGTCATGGACCCGAATCGCATCTGGATGTGCCTTTGACCTCGGGTCACCCACATCCGGCACCCCAATGGTGCCTAATGAATCCTTACGATATACAGCAGCGTCCTCAGAACACAGAGCGCAAAAGGACAAAATTTGAAAGACCTGAGGAGTTCAAATTTATGGAGCCAACAGTATTTAGGTGTGGACGCCGACCTCCCGAGCACCGGGAGGCACCGCCCGGTATGAAAAAGTTTGACATGGAGCAGGATGATTTGGTCGAGTGTTGGAAGAACAGTGTTGATCGCAGTGCACTCGGATACTATGGCTTAGGCGCTGAGCATCATAGGCCAGAGGCTGTGCTCTTTAATCAGGCGCTGAAGCAAAGCATGGAGAAAGCACGATCACGTCGTCAACACGAGATAACTGTGTCGCAGCCTTCGCTGCGGACTAAACACAGAAGGTGTGACGTGAATGAGTGGGGCCCTGAGAAGGGCCCCTTGGTACTCAATCGTAATGTGCTGCGCGCTGTAATCCACAAGATGCCGCACATACAAGAAAAGCTTGATCCGAACGATGCGGTTACTTGGCTATACTGTCCAAATCCATTGGATCCGGAGTGTCCTTTTTGTGAGGAGCACCAAAACAGTCTATTCGGCTGCCTAAGCGCCCAGCGCTCGTTGCCACTGCCCTGTGCGAAACCACGTACAACCAAACGAAAGCCGCTCAAGGTTTGTGATCCCCAGTCTTGTGGTATACGGGAGAACGCGTGCACGGAGTTCGCAAAATGGAAGTATCAACAGCATCGCAAAGCCAATGAGCAAAACGTTCAGTTAACTGAACGATGTGAGCCGGGCGAACCGGAGCCAAGGGATTACGATGAACTCTATTCGCGGCTGGTTTGCTGTTTTGAAAAGGATACCAATAAAGACCCATTCAATAAAGCATACAATACTTGCTGCAGGAAAAAGGGTAAGCATGGCGGAGGCGAAGGAGGAGCTGGTGGCGATAAAGGAGATGGTGGAAAAACTAAGGATGGTATGGATGTATCTGAGACTGGGAAAGATGATAAGGATCGTGATAAAAAAGGAGATGGAAAGGGCAAAGATGGCGCTGATGACCATGGCGATGCTAGAGATAAAGGTAAGGCAAAACCAGGTGCATTGGAAGCTAAGGATGGTGCCAAGAAGGACAAGGGTGATGGAGACGGGGACAAGGGCGACAAGGGAGACAAGGGCGACAAGGGAGACAAGGGCGACAAGGGAGACAAGGGCGACAAGGGAGACAAGGGCGACAAGGGAGACAAGGGCGACAAAGGCAAAGATAAAGATAAAGCCAAAGACAAAGACAAAAGTGACGCAGACAACAAAGACGAACAAAAGGGGAAGGAAAAGGGTGAAAAAAAAGATGGCGACATTCCTAAGGAAGAGGAAAAGATGAAGAAAGTAAAAGACAAATTCAAAGATTTTAGCGAAACCTCTGAACAAAAAAGTGAACCCCCAATATCGGATATGGATCGCCGGTTCGGTTCGGATAATTTAGATGGAAAGAAGATAAGCCACACACACCTAACACAACCACCTGCATACACTTGGCCAGATATGCCAAGTATTGGCACACCTCCGGTAAAGCGACACACGCCCGATAAAGCAACAAAAAAGAAGCGCAGAAAGAAGAAGACTGCATTAAAAGAAGCACCACCGCCGCCGCCTAAGGACTGTCCTTGTCCGGTTTGCGAGTTCATGAAGCGCCGACAACAGGAGGAGGACACACCACTTATCAAGCAGATGAAGCAACAGGAGAAGCAACAAAAGCTTCGCGACTACTACAAGCAAATGTGTGCCAGAGAGTACGCCAAATGCCGGCGTCCATACTATCCGGCACCCCAACACAAATGCGATCCCATTTGTGTGAACAACAATTTCTGTCGCGATCGCAGGCTGCGCGAGTACTGCGACTGTCTAGCCACAATGAGGCAGCTGCAAGAACTGTTGGGCCCCAAGCATAAAATATGCGCCAACGAGCTGCACTTTGACTTGAAGGATTTATATCGACGCGTCTGCAACCGCCTGGCAGAGTGTCAGGAATAGCGAGCAGCCGAGCCAAGTGTGAATTTGAATTTCGTTTGTGTTTTGTGAAGCATTAACTCGGATGATGGATGAGGCACCTGTGTGTTGCTTGTCTGGCCGTGGCCTGTGCACATACATATGGTATATGATTTTAGATGGTTATGCGTAATAAAGATAGAGCACTCTCCTACAGTAAATGATTGCTTCTGTGTACTCTCTGTGGCACATTTAATGGGATAGTTCAGAGCGGGTGGTAAATTAGAAAGATATGGTGCACACGCATATTTCAATTTTGTGTGTTCAAGTATTTGCCTAATATTTTATTTAAATACATTCGCGTGATTTATTTTGCATATTAGTAAATCAATTTTAAAGAACATAAGCAAAGCTCGTTTATCAGTATAGATATACTTGCCAAGCATCGCTTTTTTGTAAATTGATTAAATAAATTGAAAAATGTTTATTTTATGATTTGAATTGTCAGATTTCTGTACCTGGCACACCTATTATTATTTCAGAAGCTGACAAGAATTAATATCTGTTGAAAGGCAATTAATCACATCATTTTTTTTAAATTTTTTATTTCAATTTTGGCAAAAATGTAGTATACAGCATCTATATAGCATAAGCTTTAGATTAAGCAAATTCTTTGCTATTTAATCAAATACTATGTAGTAAAATTTAAGCTAGATATTATTTATTTATTTATTTGTTGTCACATACTTTGTAGCTTGCTTTTATTCAAAAAAAGCACTACAACGTAAATGATGTTACAATTTTTGTTCGAATAGCTAACGGGGACATTGGATATTAATATTACATTTAATGTGTCAGTTAATTTGGTGCGGTATTCATTTCTATGTGTTGCTATCTAAATTTTTATTTTTCACTTTTTATCGTTACGAATATGGAGAGTTTTATGGATCCAACCTTGTTCGCTCGTTTTTATGTTAGCCTCATGTTCAAAACTCGTCAAAGTCACTTGCATGTGGCAAGTTTCTCGTTTGGTCTCTCCCACATGGCTTATAATTCATTAACAGGCTAACATATTTAATGTGCAACTATTTAAGCGTGGCCGAGTGTTGTCTGTTTGTCTATTTATCGCACTTTTTCGCCTCGCTCGCTGCTGCCACACATGGTTGCGTTTTAATAAAATTCGCACATTTCTCTTGCGTTTCAATGCCACGCAAAAAAAAGGCAATTTTTAATCAACAAACAAGCAGCCAGGCAGAGAGTGCCCCGCCCATGCACAAACGCCCCCACACAGACACACACACCCACACACGCATATAAGTATATAAAGCAGAGTTTTCATGCGCCTTTAAGTACATTTAAAATGTGTGTGTGTGCGCGTGTATTTGTGCGACGGCCATGACGCATTGCATGTTTTTCATTGCAGCCCCTTAGCGTATGCAACACTTTTTTCCATCGAGCAGTTAATCAAAGTCTTTGCAAATGGCGGTCTGCGTTTCGCGTTTGCTTTTTATGCGCTGCAAACGAAATTCATTTATTAAGCCTTGGACACCGCTGCCTCAAAGTAGATGTAAAAAAACAGTACACTATATAAATGAACTATCAGAGCGTAAGGTAACCTGTCGGGGCGTGCTCCGGGCGCTATATTCGTATAGTTGTGGTCAATAGGCGGAGACATCACAGTTTATTAAAACGAAGGTGATTGCAGTGAAATGAGTTGACAGGTCAGCTTTAATTTATTGAGGAGAAAAACAGCCATTTCGAACAAAAATAGTAATAGTTGTCCCGATTGGAGGCAAAAAAACACGAATTATATATAAATTTAAAAAGGGAAAACCTAAGGTTTTAAGTTATTTTTATGAAGCTTAATTTTAAAATTGATTACGTCTTTTTTATATGTAGCTTCTCTAAAGCGAAATTTTATTGTTGTCTGTTCTATGTCTCATTATGTTCAGTATACTATATAATTAATCTCTCAATTAATTCAATTTAAAATGTTTTTAGAGGTTTCAAAGCGGTTGGAGGGTACTAGCCGTCTCTACAATTTGCAATAAAAGGATTTATTTATGCCAACATATTACTTCAGATGAATATTTTGCACCCCACAGCAGTATTGTATGCTGCTATTAGTTCACTTCTAATTCAAATTCTTGTTAATTTAAATCATCTAATCTTCATTCATCACCACCATCATGTTTGACAAAATTCTTGAAATAAAATTGGGTTTCCATATCCTTATAAATAAAAATGTTTGAGAGGACAGTATTCATAAACATTAGTTAGATTTAGTCAGTGTTCCAACTCTCAGGGACCATTTCGTTTGTTGGTAGATTGAATTGCCTATTAAAATATAAATGTTATATAAGAACTGCCATTAGCTCGGAGAATGTGAAACACATCAACAAAGGCGAACAGTGTGTGTCTAGGCATGGGTGTTACATAGATGGGCTGTCAAAAGAAATAGGCAACCGTAACGTAGCGTTAACGTTCACTTCAAGGCTGTGTGCCAGTTTGGCCAACTTATCGATGCGAATAACCGAACTGCTAATGCCTAATAATTGCCATAATGGTAGTGCCTAAAAGCGGCATAAACGCAGCGTTTATTAAGTTTAACGTGCTGCGCTTAAATTCTTTACGTTCAGACCCAAAAGTACGGCTGAACATTGACGAAGCAGAGCACGGACTGTGGGTGGTGGGGGTGGTGGGTTGTAAGGGAGTGAGTGCGGGTGTTAAGTTTAAAGCACAACACGAAAGTTGAGTTGAGCCAAGTTTCAAATGACTTTATGGCAAACCGACAGCAACAAAAGCCAGAATACCAACAACAACATCGACAATAATGGCAAAAAAGTTGAGGTAGTTGTTGTTGCTACTGTTGCTGGCGTTGGCGTTTCCGATTTGCTTGTAGGATACGCTTGCCGGTTTGGTTGCCTTGACTGCTCCCTGATCATCCTACCTATCCATATATCCAACTCCTAACCACCTACCACCTATACCTACCCACCCATTTTGTCCATATTTCCATTACTCTGCGGCCCTGCCCAAAGACCGAATGCTTTTTATACAATTCTTTGAATGTGAGTGCGAATGTGAGCATGTTGCCGTGTCATTGCAATGATAAATGTATTGGGTCGCACACAAGGACATACACACGCACACACACATACACAAGCCCACACACACATACACACTCAATATGTACAATGACGGCCCGCATGAAAAGAAAATTGTATAAAACGCAAACGAGTGCCAAGACAGAAAAATTGTTATAGTAGCAGCAACAAACGGTACGACAACACAGAGAGAGAAAAAGTCAACAGCAACAACAAGGAAAGCAACAAAGCAATGCCAATGAGCTGCATATGGACGCACACACACACACACACACACCGGGATGGAACATTCTGAAAACATGTTGGAGTGTTACGGTGCAAAATTACGCAAACTTTTTCAGTTTCTGGTGTGGTTCAACAAAACAAAACAGTTTCCATTTTCGTATTTATGAAAAAAAAAAGAAATTAAAAAAATATGCTCCATACCGGAGGGTCCGAGTCTCTATTGTTCTGCCTTAAATAAATTCCTGTTTTATACATTTAAGCTTCAATAAACATATTTTAAAATCATTTGTTCTCAATAATACGCTGGTTTTGTGCAAATTGAAATATTTATTTAACGATAACGTTATTTTTTCTTCAACAAATATCCTTTGAAACTTTGAAGGTGTTTAGATAAACTTTTTTGATTTCCAAAAAAAGGAAACTATCTTCGGTTAGGTAGTTTTGTAAAAACAAAATGACTGCATTTGTATGTTTTAAGTTACAAATTAAAATTGCTTGAATAACGAAAATATATGTATATGGAAAGGCAATCGAATACCACAAGACTACTCTCCAATTTTCTTGTTTTCATAAGCCGAAAGGAAAGAGAAAGACTCTCTGCCTATCAGTTTTCTTTTTGAAAGTGTCCCACCACAGTCATCTTTGACTATACGTCTGTGAGAAGTAACTAAGTTTGGCAGACTGATTAAAAATCTTAGTTCTGTCCCCAGGGGGTTAGATATTTTCACGTTTTCATTCTTAATATAGTTGTGATAAAGTGCTATAAAGCTCAGTTCAAGTGTATGTTATAGAGAGGAGAAGCCAAATTGTATATATTAATGATCTGAAAGGATCTGAGAGGGTACAAGAGCTTAAATACCAAAACTTGGTATTTAGTTTCCCTTAAGCCCTAGACAGATCAAGTTTATGTTTATTTTCTGATGTATCCCCACGGGATAGACGCTATAAGTAATTTTCCATAGGGTCAGTATATGCTACAACAGGGTTTGAAGAAAGTTGTAGCTATTAGTGCGATGTAATTCTCGTTTGTAATTTAAAGTTGTCATTTCTTTTGGCTAAAATCCTTTTTGTGTGTGTTTTTGTTTTTTAGGTAAATTATTAATGGCATTTACTTTTCATCTTTTCTCGTAATTCAAATAATAATAAATAAGAATAATAGTTGAATTTTAGATATTTGTATAAAGGATTCAGGTTATACCTCATTCAATGGCATATTAATGCACAACACAGCTGCCTATCAAATGGTGTTTCTAAGAATTCTTCTGCCATACACAACTGTGTTGGAGCCTGAACGGAAGCTGAAACACGCACGTAATGCAACCGAAGCGAATCAGACCAGAGATTTTTCCTGCCAAAACAATGTACAATGCTATGAGCATATACATATATATGTACATGTGTTCAACATACAGCGTCATTTTTGGTTATGTGTGGTTGCTGGCCTGGCCATCAGTAGCTGCTGCTGTTCAATAAGCTACGACAGCCACTCATTGGCGCCGTCCAACGCAATTTTTATTAGCTTGTGTGTAACATAAATGTTTAGCTATGGACAGACGCACAAACATACACATACTACATGTATATGTGTAAACAGGCACAGACACAGTTCAGCAGCCGGTACGACAGCGCATGCTGTTGGCATCTCATGCTCTGGGCCAAAATAATTAATGTTTCAAAAATTTGTTTACAAACAAACAACAAGAGCAGAAGCAACACAAAAGCGGGCACACACATATTTGCACTTGAAAGCGCACACCCACACGCACGCACACGCAGACGCACAGAGAAATAATAGTGGGGTACACCCACAGCTAGCTAAACAATGGTGAGAGGGGTTTTTGTGGGTGTGAAGCCCACAAAACCAGACAAATATTTCTTTAGCATTTCATTTTTGGGCATGTGATCCGAAAAACACAAAAGATTGGGGGGAAGAAAGAAAAATGTTCGTTTATTTATTACGCATACGCACCTTTGGCTTTTTAGCATATTGTCCCGTGCGCACATCCCGTATGGTCGCTATATCCAATATGTCCAGCTCATTATTCTGATCGACCCAATAAAGAAAGAAGCCTTTGGCATCGACCCGCATTGTCACCGGTGTGCCAGTTCCAGAGTCCTGCAATCAAAGCACAACAAAACAATATAATGAAAAAGCCATAAAAATGTTGTAGCATAACATTTGGGCAACATAAAAGGGTCTTCATCTTCCGCCCATGATGGGTCCCATAGTGTGGCCGTGGCAGTGGCAGTCGCAGTCGCACTGGCGGTAGGCGTGAGCGTGCCAGCGAGTGGGCACGCAAATTGATTTCAGTTAACAACAATTGAATTATTAAGCAATAAAAACGCCTAGCAGTTACAGGCAACAGCAACAATTTTCTCGTCTCCCAGCGCAATCCCCACAAGTAATTGACAAGGGTCCACTCTTGGGGCTAATTGTTAATTGGCCTCTGGCATGACGCCGCTTTGGTTCAATGACTCGAGTGACCAACTTTAATGAAATTGCTATGGCATATTTCACTTTCCAAGTGCAATGCACGCTCAGCACTCACCACTGAGCATTGAACACTGAGAACCGAACTCTGAACACCGAACACTGGACTGCTTATTATTTAAGTCAAATTAAATAAAGCTGTAACATGTGCAAGTGGCCGCGTGCCATAAATAAATCTTTTACCATTTCCATTCATTCATAAAACGAAAGGAACTGAACTGAAATGAACGGAGAACGTATATACTTGTATGAACAAAAAAAAAATGCGACTGCGAAAAATCTTTAAGCGCAGCTGCCTTATGGCAAACAGATGCGCCAGTTGTTGCCCCCCTTTTGCCCTTCCCATCCCCTTTCAAGACCTACTCGTACCATGTAGATAAAACGTGGAAAGGAATGAAATGAAATATTTTCTTTTTCAAATGTATATGCAAAACAGACAACAGCGCAGACAGACAGACAGTTGGCAATGGCGACGACCGCGTGCCAAGTGGAAGAGAACGAATACGTCTAGCAAATTTTCTTGGAAGCGAGTCAAATAAAGCGTTAAATGGCGTGAAAGAAATGAATGTTTATGCATACAAACAAATAATCATGCATACATTCTCTTATAGATGTATGTATTCGCATTCATAAATGGAAAAGCAGCCCAAATTTTACACAGATTTATATTCTTTTTGGCATTAAAAAATGCAACGACAATTGTCAGAATTCATTCTAAGCAGCCATATTTGATGTACGTTTTGGCCAAACAGGCAAGGCCATGATATTTATTGGAAAGTCCCTAATAAACCTCTAAGATCATGTCTCTACTAAGCCGGTATGTTGTCAAGTTAATATTATTTATTAAAAATGCACGTGAATAATGTACACACTCATTCGATTCGATTGTCAAGGGCCAGAAGGCATCATAAGAAAGTTTTATATAGATTTTGATTATAAATACCAAATCATTCATCATTATTTTTGATTATATTTTGAAAGTATGGCACATATTTTTATGGTCCACCTTTTGAAAAAAAATCATTTGTTGTCTTCCACTTTATAAGCAATTAAAGTATTTTATTGGCTTCTTAACGTACTATATATCATTTCTGTGATTGTCAAAGCTATTTAAGAAAGTAAAGCTATCGACAACTTCTGACTTTCTTTTCACTTAAAGACTGATGAGCCGAAAATCGGGGTCAACAAATAAGAAGTGACTTTCTATAAGCTATCAAATAGAATGAATTGATTGTTAATATGTGTAGAAAAAGATCGCCATTAAAAATATATTGCAAAATTAAAATTAATAATTCAAGAAGTCCCGCAACTCCACAGTGACTTGAAGCTTTTAGATAATGATTTCTACCCATCAGTACGACCGCAAATAATTACCATTGCAGATAAGATAGACGGTAAGTGGCTTCCTAGGTACGTCCCAAAAGTTATCAACACAAGACGTCATAAGTACAAAAATTAATTTCACATTTTTATAGGTTTCAATTAAAAATAGCGGTAGTAAATGATGGAATTAATAAACTAAGTAAAGCTATTCTATAAAACATTTTTATGACTCTAAGGCCTATAATGGTCTCACATCGCATCGAAGTTATTGAACTCGTTATTGAAATATATGTTTCGCTTTTGGTAGAGCAATAATGTCTCATTTGGGGCGCCACTGGAAATTGAAACAAAGGTTCAAGAGGTCAACTCCATGACTGCTGAGTGCTGTCTACCTATCTGCTGGAGTGCAGCCAGCACGCAGCCAAGTCATAAAGGAGCAGACAAAAAATGGCTCACTTACTGGTCCATTACCCACACCCAGCAATTCGTGGAGTTCAGTTCAAATGATGAAATTGATGAGCAGTTGAAATAACGAGCATTTTAATTTGTTTTAGCAGCCAAGTTGTGCTAGCGTTGTGACTAACTTTTTGCACGCATAGCTGCCCCCCGTTTACCTGCTCCCTCTCCCAGCCTGTGCGGGTTCATTATCCTTCTGGGCAACATACTGGTGTTGATGTTGTTGATGTTGGTTTAATGAACTCGCCAAGGTGCCAACGTGGCTGAAATTTCACGGAGAATTTCACAAGAGCTTCAGTAATTGAAACTGTACTGGGCTGCTCTGATCTGCCCCAGCCACCTTCTTTATCAATTCTTGGCTGCCTTCACTTCTAATAATGAAATTGAAATTATTCGAAATATGCGCACTGCTCGGGTTTTTTTTGGCGCTTTGTTTTCCCTACTTGTGTATTCAATTAAGCGCATATTTTCTGGGGATTTTGTAAAACGTTTTGGGGTTTCCTTTCCTTACGAAAGGGTTGTGCACTAATTGGACTTTAGTTACAGTGGGCCGTGAGTTATTTGGTTTTACTTTTTTTCTTTTCATGTTTGTCTAATTATTTCAAACTAATTGAATGGTGTGCTCAGCGGTTTCAGTCCCCGGGGTCAAATACAAATGGTAAAGGGAAATCAGTGAAGTGAAAACAAGGTCTGGATTGTTGGCAGTGTGTTGACAAGTTTATTAACAGCACAGCTTTAGCTGTGCCTTAATAGATATATACAAGAATATATCTGTGTGTGCGTGAGTTTAGAATAAGAGCGATTACATGCTCAGCAACATGCATAATTCAATTGATGTAACAAACGGCCATCTGCAAACTTATTGAAAAAAATATGTAAAATGGCAGCAGCTGCAGGAAAGAATTTAGATTTAGTACACAGAAAGAAAATCTAGTGATTGAGGGCTTAATTCGTAGCCAAAAGGTCACTAAAAAAGGGAAAGTTGTAACAGTTAGTTTTTCACATTGTTTTCAAAGCTCATTTTGGAGTTAGAATTCTTGAAAATGAATATTAGTGCTTACCAACATTGTGAAAGGATATTTGTATAAAAAGTCCAACTTCCTACAAATCAATCCTTCATCAATCAGTCAGTCAGGACAAAATGATTATGTACTCGTACATATGTATATGCCGAAACAACTGCATTTCGTTTTTTAAACCAATTGTGTTTCTTCGCGCATCATTTTTTATGGCAGTGTGAAGCTACAGCAGTAACAAAGGCCGTACTAGTAGCAGCTAGTAAGCTGGTTAGTTAGTGGCAGTCAGTTAGGAGCCAGCTGTGCCCGGGCAGAAAAAAAGGATAAACTGTGTCGCAGCGTACTGTGGAGTCCTGGGTGGGTGTAATGGGCGATTGTCACACGCCATTGTATTGTCAATCAAGCTTAAGGCAGCCAGAATTGCTGCTATTGTTGTTGTTGTTATCGCTCAATGAATGTGTGTGTGTCTGTATGTGTGTGTGTGAATATGTGCGTATGTGTGCGTGTCACTATAAGCCGAGTGCGTTTGGGACTATGCAAATGCTGTTTGGGATTACTCCTCTGTTGGCCGTTGCCTGTTGACTGGCAACGCTGCTCGTCCTTCTCTGCACACATTTGTTTGAGTTAAGCAAACTATTGAAATAAGTTATTGGCACACAGCAACTGAGCAGCTGAACAGCTGCTGCCAACTAAACATGCAAATTATTTCATGAAAAATGCAAGGATAAAATTCAGGAAGGGTGGTAGGGAGGGCAAGAGCTACGCATTTACCTGAAGTTGAAGTTTCGTGCCTGCTGCTGTCAGCACTTCAAAGTTTGCAGTAACAGTAGCAGCTGTTATTACTCTTGTTGTTGGAGCAATTGTTGTTCTCTTAGCTGTTGTTAGCTTTAAGTTCTAGCGCCTAACTTATACCCGTACGTGCAGAGCGAAGGGGAGAGAACGCCAACAGTTATTAGGCATACGCCATGTTGCGCGTCGCATTTGGCAAGTTGAAGGCGCGCAGCTTTACTTGCTTAGAGGCATGAGCTCATAAATATCCCTATGTATATACACAGTTGTATGTGGATGTGTGTGTGTGTGTGTGTGTGTGTGCCAGGTTCAACTTGTCTGTGCCACGTTTGTCGAATTGAGGCCGCCAAGGGCTTGGAAGCTGTTGAAAAGTCGCAGTTGTAAAAGCTGTCCATGTGGCACAAGTGCCTGGCATTAGCAGAGAAAGAGGAATAAAGAGAGCGTGCGACGGCATTCAAGAAAGGCGCTGGCCTTCGCCCATCACTGCAACAACAACATTAAAATAAAGAAAAAAAATAACAACAAAACAACTAAAAAAAAAAGGAAATGAAGTTAGTCAGCCCAAGTCAACAAAGTGCGACCTCAAAGCCAGTCAAGCAACTGAAAGCTCAGCAATTGCCACAGGAAGTCTACAGTTGAACGCCATTTGGTGTTGTTGTTCTGTTTTCTCTGTTTCTGGTCTTGTTCCTACTGAGCGACATGTGGACTTAAATGAAGATTGATGTGCATGCCTTTCTATGCCTCTTTTATGCCTTGTGGCATCATTAAGTGCAGCCTTGAATTCACCCAGGTGTCCAATTCGAGTGTGGCACAGTGGTGCAAATGAAGGTTTTCAATTTTGTTTGAGTCAGTTTCTGAACCTATGTTCAAATTTATTTTCAGAATTACTGATTGTAAATTATATAAATGATATTAAACTTATTAGGCCAAAAATACTCCTAGACGAATTAAGAAGTTAGCCGCAACGTTGTTTGCTCTCAGGTAAAGTTATTTCTTTTTACCAAAGTCTTTCACTGCAAACCATTAGCTAGATGTTTGGTTATAGACCTAAACTATCACACAAAGAATCTTTTTGATTTTTCTATAACAGCTACATATATCATATAACAATCTTATCTGGTCACGCTCCACACACCAGTATAAGCTATGATTCATTTTGACCATAAATCATACATCGAACAAACAGGGTGATTCCCTTTCTGTTTATGTTACAAATATGCTGAAGAAGCTTTAACCCTAAAGGGTTCATTGTGAGAGAAAGGATTTGCTCTTATTCGGTATTTTCTGAACGCAGTTCTGTTTGTTCCAGGTACAAATCTATTTAGTAAGCATTTTAAACAATTTAGGCAGTAAATGAGGAATGTTGAAAAACAAAATAAAAATTAAAATATAAGTAGAATATGATCAGCATGGCGATACAAAACGAAATCGCTTCTTGTCTTTCTATCTGTTTTAATCACAATTGCATATAACATGCTTTATTCATTATTACTAAATAATGCTTTCTAAAGAAAGATAAATCATTCGTATTTTATAACACGGAAAAGGAAGACTTAGAAGTTGGCCATGGATAGTTCAAAGCTTTGGCCTGATATACAAAGATGAACCCAACACAGATAACCTTTTTCCAATCTATCTTCAGAATTTGCACTGTACTTATATCTTGGCCTACTGATTCGCAGCAGTGTGCGCTGTCATGGCCAAGGTACGCCTCATCCTACAACTGCATTTAATCAGCTTTGTTATAATATTGTAACAACATCGAGACATCGGTACATCGTAAATAATAACAATATCTTAATTTGGGCAATTGAACCGTCAGGGAGCTTATCAAAGCATAGTCATCACTGCACTAAAATAAGCAATACTATTAACAGTTTTTGTTTTTATTTTTCGAGATAAGATAGTTTCTGATTATCGACCAGCGCATGTTTTATTTCATTACACAAATATATATATATATATATATATATATATATATATATATATATATATATATATATATATATATATATACCCGAACTGATACATTTCAGCCATCAGCGACCTTCATCAGTTCAGCTGGTAATAGGCGCTAATCACTTGAAAGATCCAATCTACATAGGCCGGGACCGAAGTGAAGACCGAGGGCCTGTTCGCATAGCCACACGGCATGTAGCTCCATGAGCCCAGTGCGACCAGCTCGGGCGGTCCAGTGATGGGCCAATAGACCAAAGGTGATCCGCCATCGCCCAGGCAGGTCGTGACCTCTGCACACAGTTGGCGGTCATTGAGGGGCGCATCGGCGGGCAGCAGCTTTGCGCAACTCGTGCTATTCAGAATGGGCGCAAACGCGTATTGAAGATCCTTCGAGTACTCATCGGCATTGGCATCGGTCAGACCCCAGCCATAGACGGTGCCGAGTAGGTCGCTGTAGTCATCTTTTATATCTGGTAGTGCCACTTGCTGCACACGAGCCGTGTAGACAAAGGATTCGGAGACATGAAGCAAAGCAATGTTGTCGCTACCCGCGTTGCCATTGAAGTTTCGATGCGTCGAAGCAAAGTCCACATAACGCACCTGGGCCTCAGAGATATTCGCTCGATTCTTGATGCCTGCATAGATGGCTGTGCCCACAATGTCACCACTAAAATCACGCAGCTCCTGTACACAGTGGCCGGTGGTCAGTACCCAACGCTTGGCAATAATCGCACCACCACATGCGTGCGCGTAAGCCAATGACGAAATACTTAGCGACACTAGATAGGGTGCATTGTCCACGCCCTGCACATTGTAACCGCCGATAATGTAGGGCGAGGGTTCCTCTAAATTGGCAACACTCTCTAGGTGGGTCGCAAACTTCTGCAACAGTAACTCATGCAGTTGGGCGCCATTGCTGGGCTGCAACAGCGGCAGCAGTAGTGTGACTAAAAGAAACCTCCACATGGCGTATACGTAATGCTTTTGTTAAAACTATGGAAACGCGCCGGCCACTCGCTGTCGCTTTTATATGCCCGCGCAAGAGCTTTGCGATAAGCGTGTAGAGAGAAATTCCCCCATGCTCTTCACAAATCGGTTTAAAGCAGCCTTAACCCTTATTTGGTCAGCTGTGCCCTTTTAAAAAGCCAGATCATAGAACATTAACTCATTAGTGCGCGTTGCTAGATTTGCACTCTGCCTGTCTGACTTTTGTATCAGCGTGCAGATAAGATTTCACCTACATACGAATCTTTGCTGCAATCTTGATCTTACTTATGAAATTTTCGGTACAAAAGTTATTTTTTAATGGATTGATTGAATTTATGATTTTAATCTTAATTTCTACTGAAATTTACAATTAAAAGGTGACTTGACTTGCGATTTATATTAATTTAACAAGTAGTTAGGCATTGTTTGGTAGTCCTTTCTGATATTATGGATTATCTGTATATTGATTAAAGCAATGCCAAATTAGTTCGTAAACTAAAACTAAGCAACTAAAAGGTGTCATGACTTGCGACTTATATTAATTTGATAAGCAATTAAATATTGTTTGGTAGTTGTTCCTGATATTATGGATTATCTGAATATTGATTACAGCAATGCCAATTTAGTTTGTAATCTTGGATTATAATTTGTAAAAGAACGTTGTTAAAGGGTGTGACCAACTTCCCAAAATAAATTCCCACCATTCATATTAAAAAAGCATTATCTATTTGGAGTAAAATGGTTTCACTAATAGCTTTTCGTAGAATTAACGGATTTGAGTGAAATTTGAAATAAAATTAGAAAATTGCTATGTATGCTAAGGTTGGTTTAAGAATAAAATTAAATCGCTATACCTAGTTTGTAATGTGCGCTTCACCGTTTCCGAAATCCAGTCGTTTATCCAGACAGACAGACGGACGGATGGACATGTCTAGATCGATTTCTCTCATCACGCGAACTAAGAATATTTGCTCCCGTACTTTATGGGGTGGTTATGCTTCCTTCTGCTTGTTATATAGTACTCTGAACAAACCTAATATACACTTTAGATTTTGCATAAGCCTATATACACTTTGTCGGGTACTGGGTTTAATGGACAACGTTGACAATATTACATGACTATACCCATATAAAAAGGGTGCTATGTTAATGCGAAAGTTATTCCCAGGTCCGTCTGTATGTCGGTCTGTCTGCTTCTATGAACACACCCAAGAATCTCGAGCCCTAAAATCTCATAGTGTTTCTCCTGGACGGGCTCATTCCTTTCTGGTAATTTGTTGCGTAACATACACTGCACTCAAAAGTTATTTGTCCGCAAAGTAGGCTGCGGGCCGTGTAGTCGGCTATGAAATTTGCTTTTAATTGGCTAAGCGCACAACATGAATGCGCTTCTTTAAGCTCTGTTGGCTCACCCTACCCACTCACGCAGCCCACCATCAGTTTTAGTGTCCAGTGTCCACAACCCCAGTGTCCTTTCATATTTTTAGCCCGCTTTCATGCGTTGTTCGGCTGGCAGAGCTGGCCTTGTCCGGCCCGCTTGACAGTCAAAGGCAGTGCGCGCCGTCAACACCTTTGTCAGCAGTTACGCATACGCCATGTTGCACGCAGCGTGTTAAAAATGGCGCAATTATAAAAGGGCTGGACGTCAGTGCGTGTCTGCGTTTCTGCGTTTTTGTATATGTCATCGTCTGGTTTCAAGGGCACGCCAACTGGCATAATCCTTATCGCTCGCTATAGCTTAATCGATCTGGCAAATCGCGTTGATTAACATCGGCAGTCTGGGCCATAAAAATTACCTAACCATAAACCGAAGTCACTTTCATAAATCTAAGATTAGAGATAATCTATGGGCGACCCGTGCCGTGGATTCCATTCTATATTTGGACGGCCTATAAAAGAGCGCCCTGGTTCACAAGTGGCCACAGTTCATGAATTGTGAGTGAATCAAATATGAAGGTACTAGTCGTTGCTCTATTGGCCCTCTTGGCTGTTGGCGCCAATGGTGGCAAGCTGTCGGACAAATTGGCAAAAATCGTTCCCAGCTTTGCGACCGGCTACGTCATCAATGGCACGGAAGCCGATCCCCACACCGCACCCTACATCGTGTCGCTGGGTACCAAGTTCGAGAAGCACTCGCACATTTGCGGTGGCACCATCATTGCTAAGAACTGGGTCCTGACTGCTGCTCACTGCATTTCTAACCCCGTCGGTATGAGCGTCATTGCTGGTCTTCATGTTCGCGCCGAGGTTGATGAGAAAACTCAGCACCGCGAAGTTGACTTCGGTCGCGTCCATGAGCTGTACAGTGGCGGCGTCGGCCCTTACGATATTGCCCTGCTGCATGTCTCCGAGTCCTTCGACTTCGACCAGTACGTTCAACCTGCCAACCTGCCCGCCCGTGAACAGATCCCTAGTGGTGAGACACACCTGTACGGTTGGGGTCAGCCCAAGTCCTACGTTCTGACAGCTGCCAAGACCCTGCAGACCGTGACCACCCAGGTGGTTGAATGGAACACCTGCAAAGAGACTTTGCCCGAAGATGCCCCTCTCGCTGAGACCAATGTTTGCTCTGACTCCCTTCAACAGAGCATTTCTGCCTGCAACGGTGACTCTGGTGGCCCACTGGTTATCGAGCGTGAAGGCGTTTCCTCCGAACTGATCGGCGTTGTCTCCTGGGGCTACATTCCCTGCGGATTGGCTAACCTGCCCTCGGTCTACACCCGTGTCTCCGCATACGTCGACTGGATCGCCAAGGTCCAGAATGCCTACTACACTCTGTTCTAAGTGAAAAGACAGAGACTCCTAGAGCTGTGCGAGAGCAATAAATGAAACTATGTATAAAAAAAATATTCAAGGTCGTTTCGCTGAGACTTTTATGGGCTGTGCATGCGCTGCCAATATTCCAATATTTTTGAATAGAAATTGTTTTAAAATAACATTTTGTTAGCTTGTGCCAAATGATTTGGCGCATGAAACTGATTTATGACAGAAGATTATGACAATGTTTATACAGATCGTTCGACGATTTCATAGAGGAAAAGCCCAAGTAAAAGCAGCAAGCTAAGCAGGGGCGTGTCTATTATTGCGTTTTTAGTCCAATTAGTCAATATATAAGCCAATCACAGATAAGAAGGTAAGGTAATCTACTCAAAAGAGCTTTATGGAGTGTGTTGCTAAGATAATGTTGCTCAACAAATATTGAACGAATATCGAACGAAACCTTACAATTTCATCGTGCTTTTATACTCTTCACTAAAGAGCGAAATAGTTAGAGTTTAGGAACTATCGCGATAACGACGTAACACAAATAATATGTCAAGGCCGACCCTGTCATGATCCCTAGCATTCGTACATCATACTTTATAACTGTCATACAAACGATATAAATTAATTTATATCCTAGGATATGATAACCATATTTGGAACGTTAAAATTATGGCTAATGATGGAAAATAAGGAAACAAAGGAAGTTCGTGGCTCTTAACATGGAGGAATAAAGTGTTGTTGTACGACCTATTAAGGACTTGTATTTGCTGTCTATATTTGATGCAGTTACGGTAAAGGAATTGATTGAAAACTATATTTAAAATGCAAACCGAATGCAATAGAAACTCGAAGATCTCCTAAAAGGACTGCGAGTGCATCTCTGGTTAAATAGAGTCGTCTCTCTCTAATAAATGTTCTGCAGTTTTTATTCAGTGTACTTGCATGAGTGCCGAATTATATACAAATCGTGTCTGTACTACAAGTATACAAGTATATACCAATAGCAAGTCTATCATTTTTATACCCTGTACCCAAAGGGTACAAGGGTATATTAGTTTAGTGCGAGTGCACATGGAACACACAGAAGGAGGCTTGGTAGACCCCACAAAGTATATATATTCTTGATCAGCATGACAAGCCGAGTCGATATAGCCATGTCCGTCTGTCCGTCTGTCTGTCCGTCTGTCTGTCCGTCTGTCTGTCCGTCTGTCTGTCCGTCTGTCTGTCCGTCTGTCTGTCCGTCTGTCTGTCTGTATGAACGCAAGGATCTCCGAAAGTATAAGAGCTAGAATAACCAAACTTGGTATACAGATTCTCCTGAGACCGAGAAAGGACGAGTTTGTTCATTTTTTCTGATCCACCCCCCCACTCCCCCCCTATTAACGATTTTCTATAACTCCCGTAATTCTTGGAATTTTGAACTAAAATTTGGTAGTCACATTAGGTTAGTAATTATATAACCGTATACCAAGTCTCATTATGATAGAATGATCGGAAAGAAAGTTATAGCCATATAACCAGGCTCAATGCACACATACATACATATGTACAAGTACACAAACACGCATAGACACGATTCTGATGTAATTGTAAATGTATGTATGCATGCATGGAATATTTTATATTTAATTAGTTAATATTTAGTTAATTAATTAAATTAATTTAGTTAATTAATTTAATTAAATTAATTAATTAATTTAATTACTTTTTTGTGGGGTGGTACAGGGTATTTAAGAGTTGAGCCTGCTCGACTTTAGCATTCCTTTCTTGTTTTGCTATGTATAGGGCTGCATAGCTTTTTAATTATAGTCCAGTTCTTGTTCTTTCTTGAGTTATAAACTTTTGCATCAAAAATAGCATATAATGATGTGGGAATGACTATAGTTTCTTGTAATATTTGCCTTCCAAGTAAATCCCTAAAAAGCAAGCAAGAAAAGTTTGCATTCTAGGGACAAGTCGAGAAAAAAGAAGACGAGTTCGGAAGCCTGAGCCAAAACGTGCATTTTTGATTTGATTTCAAACCACTTTAATCGATGTAAGCCAATTTAATTCTCATTATTCACACTTTTTCCTTTATATACACATGTTATTGTTTTAAATAACACCTCACATTGATTGTTTTTTGTATCGCTTTTGAGTCGAAATCGGTCAAAACATCTGAATGAATAAATCATATCTCCACTGCCGTGCTTGATTTATTGCAATAATTATAGGTTTATTGATTGTTAATAAAAGAATGAATGAAAGCTTTGATAATAATTAGGGGAGAGATAAGCATTTGCAATAACTAGTGACGAAATAATTGTTGGGTAATATAGAAAGTGCGCATATAAAGAGAAAATATATGTATTTCAATTTTTTATAATTTTTCACTTGCATTGAAAATTCATTATGAAGAAACATTTGTTCACCAAGGGTCGGGAATGAAAAGGTTCGACAGAAAGGATGTTCCCCTTCCCCCTTTACAGTAATTGTGTGTTGCTCCTTTTTATTGTTGTTGCTAGTTGTGGAAACTGGCGGCGATCCCCAAGCAGTTGAATATTTTTCATTGTCCGTTTACGTTTGAAAGGAGCTAAAACTTAAATTCAATTTAATTGAAGCAGCTTTAAATGGCCTTGACATTCCCCAATCGCATTTATCAGTTGATTGCTTTAAGGGTATACCATTTTTTGTAGACCTGGAGAGTGGTAAGCTCTAGGCCAGGAATTTTCATCTTGAATCCAAATCAGTTTTCATTTTTTAATATTTAGTACGAGCTGCAATACATCTGCCAAATTGTGAGTGAATGTTTACTCAATTGAAATTCGGATATCAGGCTCATTTGACTGAGCAATTTTTTTTGTAATTTTCCAAACAAAGTATAATCTTGTTTTACTTGTGATAATGACGCGTCCAAATGTCTTTGTCTGCCAAATAATACATACGCATAGGTTCAATCAACCAAGTGGCAAAGATTAAGCAGCTCATAAAGATACCCGTACAGTTTATGGAGCGATTAATCAAATGCCCAAAAAACCATGCAAATTTAGGACAACTACAATTTACGACCCACTCGTAAATGAAACAAAACGAAAAACGGACGAGACTAAGTAGTTTATCGAGGCCAAACACTTAAGATTTTAATGGTCTGCTCGTCTGCCCGACTTATCGAAGTGTTTGATGTGAAGTGCTCGACTGTATAAATAGATCAGAAATTGGCTAGCTTATCAATTATGTGCATTTAGATTGATCATCAAATGCGTGAAAAACTAAAACCATTGCCTACCACATGCCATGCCCTAACAAACCGTAAAGCTCCATGAATCTGATAGCCGATTGTAGGGAAGTAAGGCAAATAAATAATCCATAAATTTTGCAAATCTTGTGCTTTTGTGGGCTACTCAATTTGTCATCACCTTTGCCAGGTATTCGCAGTAGCCAATGCCATAAATGCCCCATAAAGCTGATGGTCAATTATGTTTGTGTGGTTGCTGATAGCATCGATAGCGATTGGGACTAGATAAGGGGCGCTGCCTATAAAACCCTCTGATCGGAACGGGTCTCGGCACAACTGTGAAAACATCAACATGCAACCATTCGTAATCCTGCTCGCGCTTCTGGTCGCCGGAGCCAGCGCCAATATTATTGGCAAGCCCGGCTTCCCCGAGGGTCGTATCATCAACGGAATTGAGGCGACTGCCGGAGAGGCACCTTTCATTGTCTCGCTGCAGTCAACCGCAGGATCGCATTTCTGCGCCGGCTCCCTTATCGATGAATCGACGGTGCTGACTGCTGCCCATTGCTTGGCCAGTTACAGTACCTTCCTGGTGGTCGCTGGTGCCCATAGCCGCACTGACAAGACGACTACTCAGATTCGTACAGCCAGCAACAAGCGCCAAGTGGTACATGAGCTCTATGACGGTGGTGTGGGTCCCAATGATATCGGTCTCGTCTTCTTGGATGAGCCTTTCAACCTAAATGCTCTTGCTCGCGATGGAAGTGCTCCCGTGGCCGCCATTAATCTGCCCTCGGGCTTGTTCGAATCTAACTCCGATGGCATACTCTATGGCTGGGGACGTGACAACTCTGGCGCTTTGCCCGACAAGTTGCAGAAGCTGGATGCGGACATCATTGGCTACCAGGATTGCCGCGCTGCTTTGCCCTCCAGCGCCAAATTGGCCGATAGCAACATTTGCACTTACACCGCTGGCACCACCGATGGCGCCTGCAATGGAGACAGTGGCGGCCCATTGGTGGTCCAGAACAGGGATGGCAGCATCGAGCAGGTCGGCATTGTATCGTGGGGTTACACGCCATGCGCCAGCACTAGATACCCATCAGTTTTCACTTCCGTTGGATCGCATCTGCCTTGGATCCTTGCTAACACGGCCAACTTCAAAAAAGCTTAATTTATAAGCAAATCTATGTACTATACCTAACGATTTGTAAATGAGCGAGCATTTTAAATAAAATTTGTAATTGCAATACTTAGTCTATACCGGCTTGCCGGATATGTCAAATGATACTTCCTATACGTATACCTTCGTTGGCCCATTCTTATTGTAAACTTGAAATTGATTTGATTCGATTTTAGAAGGTCAGGAATGAATTAATATGAAAGTTTTAAGTACGATCCAAAACTCGAAATAACCAACAGAGACTGCACATATACTATATATTGAAGAGAAATAATAAAGATAGGATGAACACATTTAAACAGCTACCAGCGGTCGGCTAGTGTTCTCCTAGTTCAGTCGTATTACTGAGGCTTAGACTTATACAAGTATCAGCCAAAATCATTTGAGGATATGTTTCAGTAATTTAAAAAAAAAAGAGCTCTTTCTGGATAAACACAAATTAATTATGGATTGCAAAAGACCTCAACCTTGGGTGAACAAGAGAAAGCACCCCTGGTTTACATTAAGAAGTCAGAAGAAAACATTTAACTCTAGCACAGCATGAAGTTTGCTTTTCTTCTTCTTTTTGCTTCTACTAGGGGCGCATATAACTCAGTGACGGAAGATTGTCAGTGTATAGGGTATTTTACTGTCGAGCTTGCTCGACTGATGCGTTCTCTCTTGTTTGAATTTGATTAGAACTTTATTCACTTTACAATTTAGAAAGTTGTAAATGAGTAAAAATATTATTCTTTAATGCATTGACTGTACTTACATCATCCCATCTGAGGAACTTCTCGCCATCCTGGAGCGCTTGGGGCACCTCCACACTGGCTGTGGATATATAAGTGCCGCTTGCGCTCGTCATCTTGAATCAGCTATTAGCTCTGGCCTTTTTGTGTGTGCGCGTGTTTGTGTGCTTGTTTGTCTGCTGTTAGTTTTGGGCGTCTGGTCGAGATGCTACTCACAAGTAGCTGGCGTTGTTGTTGCTACTCTGCTGCTCTGATTCTGCTCCTGATACTCTCCTTTTGCTGCTCCAACTGCTGAAAAGCTTTTAGCAGTTGCGCTGCATTTCCGTAGCTGACGTTTTGCATACAAATGACGCCATTTGCTGTGGCGGCGTTTCCGTGTTTTGTGTCTTCTCTTCCTCCCTCTTCTCCTCTTCCCCTCTTCCCCTCGTGCACTCGCAAGCCTTGCGCGCTTCAATTAGTGCGCCCTTGTGTCTGTGGCACGGCTTATTTGCTGCATTTTGCGAGCTTGATTAAAATGCAGGCTGCGTGCGTTGCATCCCAGTAGCTGAAAAACTGTAAAGAAACGTTTCGGATATCAAAATGTTGGCAAAAACAGGAATGTTTTGTCTATTTTTTTAACCAAATTGTTAATGAAGCATGCAAGCAATACAAGCACAGACATACAGACATTCAAACATACATACATACTCGTACATATACATTCAGAAATACAACCACATGCACTCAGCCACTCTTGATTACTGCCCTCGTTGAAAATTTATGAAAATGTCTCGACGGCGCGCTTTTGTATCTCACAAGCTCGCAAATCAGCCAAAAAAGGTCAAATCAGCCTTTCTTTCATGCCATTGTCTACTTGATTTGTTCTCTCTTATTTTTCTGTCCATTCATTGCGGCTTTGTTTGTCTATTTTAGGCGCATGTTTTGTCCTCTATTCTGGGAATTTTTTCCCGTTTGTAGTTTCATTTCATTTATGCAAAATTAACGCTAATTTGGCTCGCAAACATTTTTCAATAGACTTTGCCCTATCTTTTGACCCCTCACCAAAATTAGATGTGCACATTGTCTTTTTATCTCAGACAGCTATTTAGGGGTTTTCGTTCTCCTAAATAGCTTTGGCATGCATAATATTTTCGAATAATATTGACCATTTTTGTGGCTAGGATAGTAGTCACATAGATAACGGTGCGTTTCATTCATAAATCTTTGTACTTTTTGCCCAAAGTTAAAGCGTATATTCCACGTTCTATATGAGCTTGTTTCGCTTTTATCTGCACTATAAATCATTTGAACTTTATGGCTGCACCAAAGTGCAGTCAGTATTAAATTGGATTTGGAGTACAGGAAAGCTGGCAGACTGACAATAAAAAGAACGCACTAAGACGAGTGCAAAGCACGGGCGAACTCTGTCTGATAACGGCTGCAGAAATGGTAAAATAAAGACATTTGATTTGGGAAAGATAGCATTAGATTTATAGAATTATAAATATAGTATATTCAATCCACTGTATTACAATTTAATAAGCATAACTCAAGCTAAGCGGGTCGATCAACTGTTAAGTCAGCGCGTAACATCTTTGGGTCACGCAACAGATTAGAAACAATTCGTGTTATAATAACAGCAATATCCAATAACAACACCCAGAGTTAAGGAATTTAATTCATAAGACTTTGCATAATCTACAACCAGCTTTTTATCACTTCACAACTTTACTAAAAGGAACACGTTGCCAATGTGTTTATTTGGTCAAACGTATAATAAGAATTTGTTCGGCATTAAGCATAAATATACGAGTACATACAAATATTGAAAATCTAACATTTTAATTTAGAAGAAGCTATTCTGTAAGATATTGAAATATGTATATAATATTTTATTGGCAAAAATATAAATAAACTGTACCTCTAGCTAAATACAAAACCTAAAAACAGTGTTGCCTATTGATAGTCAAATTATTTTGGTTTCCTTGTAACCTATATAGTAAATAATTTTTCATAGACTTCGTCTACAAGATGAATAAAGAATATTTATATTTAATGAATATCTATATTAATTTATTTAGTTGCATTTTAATTTATCTTACGAAGCTTCTGAACATGAAGCATGTTTATAAACTTTTGCATTTTAATTTATCTTACGAAGCTTCTGAACATGAAGCATGTTTATAAACTTTTAAACTTACATAAATAGAATAGGCTCATGCTTTTAATTACATTGCATTAAAGATTTTACTTTTTGTACATATAGAAAATGTATTCATATCGACATTAATTGTTTGTTCATGTATGGTATATTTCGATTAGGTTCCCCGCGTATTATTTTGCTGTTGCCAAGTGATAAATGCAAGCTGTACATTATTTTGTTAGAGATAAAGCTCAAATTGTTTTTGTATAGTATTTACATAACTAATGCCCATATGTATTTGTTTGTGATAGTCTCTAGTCATAATCTACTTACAAGCTACATGGATACTAAGCTTCAACTATATAGACATACTCGTACATAAGATAAATAGACATTAAACCACAAATACACACACACATAGACGTGACAGCGGCAACTACATAATGCTTTTATAATTTCTTTTTCGATGCCATGCCTTGCCACAAGAAATTTTTGGCTAAATTCAAACAGAAAATAAAAATGTAAGCAAAAGTTGTGTGGCCCCAAAAAGCCACAATACCTACACAGACACACCAACATACATACATACATACATACATACATATACATATGTATGCATGTGTTTAGAAAACCAGCTAAGCTTTTGCATGTGTGGAATATACACACACACACACCTATACCTACACAAACGCCTACACACACACACACCCACGCTTAATGCGCGCAAAAGGAAGTAATTTATTTGTTGTTGTTGTTGTTGGTGGTTATTGGAAGTGCTGATGCTGCTGCTATTGTTGTTGTTGTTGTTGCTGCTGCTGGTATTGTTATTGTTAGCTGGTATTGCCAGCTACTAGCCAAATAAATAAAATTCAATTTGTAATTTATTTTCTATTTCTATTTCAAATTGAGTTAATACATCATAAATTTTCCACTTGGCGCAAGGAAGCAATTAAGCATGTTTGTTGTTGTTGCGCGCCAAAATTGAGTTTTAAGATTATATAACAATAATAAATTGATATAAAAGCACGAATCGAATGAACGATGAAACGAACTTGTTAGCACAAACGTACTCGTAAAATAAATATGAAATATTGAATGGGCGCTGCTTTGATTTCGTTGTTGTCTTATTGTTCATGTTTGTTGTTGTTGTTTTTGTTATTGTTGTCGGTGTACAATTCGTTTTAAATGTTTTATGGGCAGCAAGCAATAATTTATTGCAGGCAATTTGCAGATCTGGCCCAAACCCACCACAACACCAGCAGAGAGCGATAGAGTGAGAGCCAAGAGCCAAGTGGTAAGAAGAAGGCGCACAAAAATCACAGACGCACAGATTTCAAGTGGCTTTTGTAAAATGCCAAAGCACAAATACACACACACACACACACACACGCACACTCACATAGATGTGCACATTGCTAGACATGAATCATGCATGTGACACAAGCAGCAGAGCCAACTACAGCAGCAGCAACAATACCAACAACAGCAACAACAAGCTACATAAAATGGCATCCAGCAAGAGTACAAAACATAGCATAAATCAAAGCGCTAGTCAAAATATGTTTTGCCTTCTTTTAGTGCTCGACTCGTAAGCATGTGCGAGGGCAGAATGATAAATAAACGTCTACGGAATATAGTTTACTATCAGTTCCAGGAATTGCACGTAAAAGTCTTTGATGTGTTTTCATCGTTGACTGCTTTTCAGAAATTGGAATTCAATACTTGTTTGTAATAAAACGGAAACACATTTGTGGTCGGATCAGATTTTGAAATACACACAGCATGAACGTTACAGCCGGAAATCGAGAATTCAGCTAGTCAATAGCCAGTTTTCTATGAACACCTTAGAGAGTACGATTGCAGTTAGCGTAACATTTAAGTATGGACGAAAATTAAAGTTAATGCACATTTCCAAAAGCTTTACCACAGAACATTAGAAAACCAATATCGTTAAACGTGACAAAAATACAAAACGGTTATATTTTGTTTGTTGTTTTTTTATTTATAACAATTTTTAAAAATAAAATAATTTTTTTGTTGAAACTTTTTCATATAATTTTTATTCAATATTTTCTTATAATTTCTATGCATGCGACCGTTATACTCGTTTCTTGTTAAATTCTTCATGTTCAAATACATGTGTATATTGAAATAAAACCCAGAGGAATGTTTTGTTTTAATTTTAGTTTTCACTCTATTTAAGTTGGCATAAATTTACATTTCAGCTAAGAACACCACTTGGAAGCATTCGAATTAAAAGAATAGTTGAAATATTCAATAGATTGACATATTAGTGCTGTGTTGCCATTTACTGTAGACATATAGATCGCTTAAACTTTTCTTACTTCCTCCTTTTGTACATATCTACTATATATATGCTGTCGCTCTACAAAATAGACAATGCCACACTGGAGAGCTGGCAGCTAAATAGCTTTAAAAGCAGCACGCCGGCACACACACAGAGTTATGTGGCAGGGCGTCAAATTGAATGCTGGCTGGAAGGCAACGCTTTGCGGAAGTTGCTTGTCAAAAAGCAATCTTCGGAGCACAACGGGAAAGAAAATGATAATCAAATCAAGGCGCCAGCTATTTGGTTAATGTGCATGACAACGACAATGTCGTCGAGGTTGGTATCGGCATCGGCAGCGACGTTGCCGCCACATTTATAAATATATATAGGAAAAAAACGCAAAAAAAAATCGTTAAAATGTTTGCGCAAATGGCGCACAGGTGACTAAAAGATAACGGGGCAGCGTGGCGGCAGCAAAAATGCGTAGCATGCTTTTAGGAGCAGCTTTTACTTTGCTCTGCTTTCTTCGCGTTATTTATGCGCGTAAATTGCAACGACTGGCAGGCCCTCGTTGAGTGTGTGTGTGTGTGTGTGTGTGTGTGTGTATATGTGTATGATGACTATAATTTCATTTGTGGTACATAAAAATTTGTCAGCCTCCTCTCTTGCTTTCTGTCTGCCACTTGCGCTCTTTTTCAGCTGCTGCTTTCTTAACTTTCATGGTTTCTGCTCTCGGTCTGAATTACATTAAACTAATTGCTTTAGCTTGTCATTGTTGTCGTTTGTGTGTGTGTGTGCGTCTGTGTGTGTGCGCATTATTGTTAGTGCTTTTAGCCTTAGCAAATTATATTTCCTTGTATGTCAAATGTTTTTCTCCGGCTGCCATCTTTGCAGCTATTAAAAATTTAAAGCCCCCCCATATACGCTCACAGTTTGACAAGCATTGTTGATTTTTATGTTGCTAAGAGCATAAAAATACGCAACAGCACAAGCTGCGCCCTATCTACAATTACCTTTGCTTGGCAAGCTGAGTTAGGCACGAAACAGAAACAACAACAGCAACTGAATGCTAAATAAACATTAAATATTAAAAATGTTTTTCCAAGGGTCCCTTCAGCTTAGCTTTACTTTGTCTTATTA